AGCCTGGCAAAAGACCGTCGTCAAATGCTGCGAGGCTCCAGGGGCAACACAGCCTAGAGAGACCTGGGTAGGCCCAGCAGTGGGGCTGGTGTGAGCAGAATTGAGGCTGGAGGGGGTGCAAGGTGTGACAGCGGTGCCAGCAAGAAGGAGGCTGGTGAAAGTGAAACCACTGAAAGGCCTCAGCATGGGAGCAGTGAAGCTGTTGGTGAGCCAGCATTGTAAAGAGAGAGGACACTGCATTGGGTGGCGGCGCAAGCTGGGGCCAGCAAAAAGTGGATCCCAGGAAGTTGAGTAATGCCAACAGGCTGTACATCAAGTGCAAAGTGGACGGCACAGGGATTGATTGACCTTTGAAGTGGGGGGGGCTATGTAGCAACCTCTAGAAGCACATGAGGCATGGCCACACCAAGAGGAGATGTGGTATGTGTTTTGTGATTTATATGAAGCTTGGTTCTTTAGCTCCATATATCAAACGTGAAGTACGAAATCTGGTTGTGATTTTAAGCCTCTGAGCTCTGTTTCATCCCTCATGTAAACACAGTCACTAAAGTAGCTTTTCATCATTTGAGAAATATTGCTAAAGTCAGGTCTGTCCTATTTTGGAGCAACACAGAAAAACATGTTCATGCATTTGTTACAAGCAGTGTTGATCACCGTAATGATCTTGCTGTACTTCATAACAAAACAATACATCCTTTACAACTTCCTAACAAAAACGAGATCATATTACTCCTGTTTTAACTGGTTCAGGATAGATTTTAAAGTTCTGCCACTAGTTTTTAAGGCTCTAAATGATCAGAGCTTACATCACAGAGTATCTGTCTGTTTATGTTCCATAATGTGACCTTAGGCCTAGACACACTGGCCTTCTGCAAACACCTTCTGTAAAATACAGAAAATGTGAAGAGACTCGGATTTCTACAGTTGTATAATTATTCAAAGGGTCATGTAAACAGCACAGAGTAAGATGTGATGTAAAAATCTGATTAAGGAATCTGATAGAGGCTGGACTTTAGCTCAGTAATCAGACTTCTCAGTGCTGTAAACTCGTACTCTGATTTCTTTCAGATTTCTCAGTCTGTATTCTGCATTTGACAAAATGAAGGATTTACATCTTCTAGATGATGAATGTTCATATTTTCAGGTAAAGTGGCTCTATGTTTTACAAAAAAAGCTGCGGCATGAAGTTCGAGTTTTACATTATGTTTGTCAAATTTTCTTCTGCAAGTTTATTGGCCAGTTGTAAAGCAGAAATCTGATTACAACGAAGGTTCTTCAGGGTTTTTTAGTAAAGAAATTGGTTCTAGTCCCACAGTGGGGAAGTTTCACCTCCGCATTTTGACCCAGCCGTGCAGTGAAACACCACATACACACTAGTGAGCACACACACACTGGGGGCAGTGAACACACTTGCCCTAACCACAGCGTCCAGGGAGCAGTTGGGGGGTTAGGTGCCTTGGTCAAGGGCACCTCAGTTACATACTGTCAGCTCAGGGGATCGAACCAGCGACCTTCCAGTCACAAGGCTGGTTCCCTAACCTCCAGCCCACGACTGCCCATAGAAATGTACCTGCATGTTTAATTGTAATTTAAATCTAAATGTAATTGCATGTTTAAAGTGTTTTTTTTGCATGGTGAAATGGTTCTTCAGATTGATGGAGAGCATGTTTTATGTAGAACTTTTTTGGAAATGGTTCTATACACTATCAAAAAAGCTTCTTCTATTGCAACAAGCCTGACATCGTAACAACAGCATAACCCTTTTTGGTGCCATTTACAACACATTCTCCATGTGAAGGACCAGTTCACCATGCAAAGAACCATTTAAGCATGCAGATGGTTCTTTAAGTGTATAGAACCACTGTCTTTACTCTTTACTAAAGAACCTTTGAAAAACCTTTGAAGAGCTGCTACTACTACTTTGTTTTAAAAAGCTACTGAAAACATATCTTTTAAGATGAACAATTATGGACGTTTAAGATTTTGTATGTGTATGTTTACGTGTAGGTTTATGTATTAATGCACGTGTTTGCATATGCATGTAGATCCAAGGTTGTATTGTAGACTGTGATATATCACTGCTGTTGGGACAAAACCTTGCATCTCCATTTTTGGCATTTTTCAGTTTTTGTCATTATTTGTCATAATCTGATTACTTTCTGACTTAGGTAGACCCGGAGTTTCCACATTATCTGATCTCAAGTGCATGTAAACACATTGATCGGATTACTGACAAAATCCGATTTTCTGCAGTTATTTGATAATTAATTGTGTGTAAACACACTCACTGGCTGAAGTTTGAACTGAATCTTGCAAAAGACCTCAACTCATTTAGTCTAATCTCAACAAGAATGAGTCCACAAACCAGGTGGAACTAAGGTATTGGGGTCATGATGTGGAGCCACCAACATGGAGGTGAACACAAAAATTCAAAATCAAACATCATCTATCACAAACGTGACCTGTGATATCCCACTCAAACTGAGCTAGCTGCCCCCACACAAAATTCACTGGTGAGCTCCTCAACTAAACTGAAACCCATATTTACTCCAATGAAATAAAGTCAAGAAGATGAAAAATATTCTAACATGAAAAATACTAGCAGTAAAATAAAAAAACAAAACCTTGAAGCAAAAATATCATAACAAACGTGACTTCACTACTATCTTGAATTGACCAGTACAGAAACTAAAGCTTGTACAGCTTTATTCATCTATTTTTGGATGTAATGCTAAAGCTCCAGAGTGAGAGGTGTGATCAACAGAAAAAGCTGTCCAGGAACTGAACCAGCACGACATAATGAAATTAAACCAAAAAAAGATATCAGGACCTAAATGTGTATGACTAAAATGAACCTAAGGAAGACAAATTACTTCACTCACTAATATACTTACTAGAAGTATAAACATTCAAAAACAATCAAGAAAGCACAAATACTTTCAAGTGTTAATAAACCTTCACTGATAAATTTGGCCACCTCTGTCTTTTTGAACTTCTCCAGCCCAACTAGAAAAACATTATCACTCAGAACCACAGAACTGAGTGCCAACATTAGCCTCCTCAGCTCAGCCTGGATGAAGGTGCTTCTGAGATCACACATTCATACATTTTACTAATTACTTTTCAAAACAAGAACATTTCTCCACCAGTTTCAGTAAAACACAGTGTAAACGAAAAGAAAGATGATAAACAGCTCTTTACCTTCAGCAGATCAGCTACTGTTTCTCTCTAATACCACAGCGCTCTTCTTCTTCTTGTTCTCAGCTTCATTGTCTTTTGAAGAACCACAATTAGCGCCCTCACCTGGCCTGCAGGAACGATGTCATCAATGGCAGATTTTTCTAATCCCACCCGTATTCCGACAACCCGCACCCCCTGCGCTACGATTGGCTTGATATTCATGAGAGCAGTCCGCTAATTGTCTGGTTCAGAAACAGTTCTCGTAACCAGAGGACCTAAAGCGATTAGAAAGAGAAGATCCAACAGGAGAGTTTATAACAGTTCAGCACAGCGGTACACTTTAACACAGCTTTCAGAAACACGTCTATTACTGTTTAAATCAGTCACACATAAAATGTTTGCAGTAAAATGTGTCTTCAGAGTTAAACTCTCCCTTAGTTCAGTGAATTCAGATTAAGATTCACTCTGACTCACAGTAACTCACTAATGTCCGTTTATTTACTGCAAGTTATAAATTCACACAAATATGATTTAAAAAACACAAACGTGCATGTTTTACCCATAAGGAAAAGAAATAAATGTAAAGTGTACATCTGAAAATCTATGAAAAAAGACAAAAATGTATTTTGCTTAATGTAGTTTAGTGTTTGAAATACATTTTGTAATAAACCGATACATTTGAAATGTATCTCATATAAAAACACATGCCCACATATATCAATCATTGTAACTTGTTTTTCTTTATAATGTAGTTGAGCATGAGTCAGGTTATTCAGAAGCTCTACATGGCCATAAAAAATATTTTATTTTGAATTTAAGGAAACTCAGTTTCAATCAGATGACTAAGCTAACTGGGTCCTGAAGACACAGTTACAAGGGTTACATTGATAATTTCAGTGTTTGCTTGCACCAGTCACCTCATGCACTTATGCAATGCTGTGCAAAATTTGTGTTTGGAAAACACCTAAAATTTTGCTGTGAAAACTTGTTCTTTAGTTCATAAATGAAATTCAGTCTGAACCTAATTTTAGTGTATGTCAATGTTTTGTGTCAGGAGAAATTAGTTCAATTAGTTGCCACAAATATTTTTAAGTAGTCACTCATTGTAATTTTGTTAGTCTTTTCCCTTAGTTGTAATTTCTTTAAATATGTAATCACACTGAATTTATGGTTAAGCTAAAATAACTTATACAAACTAAGTTTTGTCTACATTAAATAAGTAGTTACAATGCTTGAAACTGTTTACTTATTAGTACATAATTGTATTGTGTAACAGAAATATATATTTTGAAAAAAAACTCCAAAATGTAGATACTTCTAAAATGTACTGCTTGCCTTAATATTTTTAAAGTTCTGCTAACTTTTTTGGGTTTACAGTTTACTCCCCCTGCTGTTACACTATTTGATCCTGCTTTGCTAACCATTGAGACCACCAATGCCTGTGACTATGGCTTTGGCTCAGTGCTTTCACAACTGCATGGCAACACTGACAACACAATTGCTCTTGGATCTCGCTTACTTTCCGAAAGTGACAGAAAATATGCCACCATTGATTTTGAGTCTGGATGGCTGAACACGTTCGCACCTGTGGGGACAACAGTTAACTTTGAGAATTGACCACAGTGGAAGACCAAGTATGAGGATTACGAGATGGTCTGCAAACCTTTCAGTTTTCAACTATACCATCCAGTCAAGTCCACGCACGCATAGATGCATTCAGGCACAAATACGTTCTAAGTACTCTGTGACATGAAATGCTAGTAATGTTAAATAAAAAAAGAGAAAATCTGAAGTGACAATATAGACACCAAAACATTATATTTGTACTTATTTAGTATTTTATTATGTTGCATTTCCAACTATGTAGGCTTACAAGAGAAGTTATTTGTAGCATCATTTGTTTCTCCGGCAGTCTATTCCATCTCACATAGACACACTGAGGAGCCCACACCAACCCTAAACCCAGCGTAGAGTGGCTCAGTGAATGTAGAGTAGAATGTGTATATGTGAGTCCGTGTATCAGGTGAGACACTGTAGAAGGACAGAGTGCCACCCATCCAGTCCAGATACACTCCTACTCGGTTGGAGTCAGAACTGTAGTGGGAGCTGTAGGGGGAGGCAGGTATGGCAATGTTCTTCTTGTTGTGTCTGACAGAGTAGCTGTTAAAACCATTATAAGAGTCTGAGATGCTGTTACAATAGCATCTCAGAGTCCATGATAGTTCATTGTATCCAAATACACAGTCATTACTGCTTCCTTTCCTCTCAATTCCTTTATATGTCATGGCTATAACAGCCTCTCTCCCGCTCCACTCAGCCTCCCAGTAACAGTGTCCAGTCAGACTCTCCACACTCAGAACCTGTGTACATTCATCAAATCTCTCCGGATGGTTTGGATATGACTGTTTTTCTCTCACACATTTTATCCCTCTTTTCCTCTCAGGTCCCCTCAGAAACAGATGTGTGTTTGCTGTGTTTGAGTCCAGTGTGAGCTCACAAGCATCTGCACAAAAAAATTAGATTATAGATTAGAGATTAGAGAAAACCACACAAACTGTGTATGTGTGTGCGTATGTGTGTGTGTGTGTGTTACATTTCATCAGTCCTGGTTTCATCCTGATCTTCCCTCCATGATCCAACCTAAAAAACACAAGACCACACACACACACACACACAAAATGAGTGACAGGACAATAAAAGAAGACTAAAAGGTAACACAGGGGAAAAAGTAATTGCTGAAGAATGATCAAATTAATTGAGTTTAACAGGCAAATGCAATATAGTTTAAAATCATACTGCTTACTTGTGATTTTGCCTTATATGTTTAAAAATCTGTTGCTTACCACACTGAAGTTAAAAGATCAATCAGGCAGAAATCTTATTTTGAGACCCTTCGTCAACAATAATTACAAATAGATGCCATTCTAAAAACTGTGATCTCTCAGCTGAAAGGCTGTACTGACTCATAAGGTTTCATGTTGGTGCATCATGCTTGGACTTTGACAATGGTAAGTTGCAGATGCTCTCTAAACAGCTGTGAGCAGAGAAATTAATTTCACAGAAAAAAACTAAGATTATGCACATGGTCTTTTTTTTGCACATTTTGCACCCATCATTTAAAACTTATTGAGAAGTAATACTTAATATTTAACAAAATAAAAAAAAAATTGCCATTCATGAGATTTCACTCTCTTTTCATGAGACAGAGCTGTTTGATTATGTTAGCTCACTTTAGCTTTAAAATCTGGTAAGTTAACATTCGCAAAAGCTAAATTTATAACTAGTCAAACAGTGCAATTTCATGGAGCAACAAAAGAGAATAAAACAGTTTACTACTAGATTAGAATCTTGTGATCTGACTGAAATTTGATTTAAATATCTTCAGGAAAACTGCAGGAAAGCTGTGGATGTCAGTTCTGACAATAAAGATAAAATCCTTACTAAAAGGTTTGTTGATTGGCTGAATAAAGGTGTAGTGGACTTGGCTATTTTTAATTTTTCAACTGATCAAAACTTTTTGGACAAAATTAAACCTTTGACTTAAGATACAAAGAACAATCCTTGATGTCATGAGAAAATCAAGTTTATGGCACCCAGAGTGCTCTAAGGACCTGCTGATTATATTGAATTATATTGGCTGTAAAGTAAGATTTATCTGGGTTACTGTATTTGCTAAATGTTATTTTAACAATGTCTAACCATAAATAATGTTCACTAGTTAGCTTTTCTTAACTTAGCTGCTAACCGTATACTTGATAAAGGACTTGCCTGATTTGATTAATGCAAACCTGGCTTCCAGATAGGTTTTTGTTTACTTTAATTTGACCTACATTCTTATTTTGTCACTTCTCACAATATGTCCGCACTAAAAGTATTGTAAATACTGTTTAGTTTTGTGCTTCAAAATGTTCTGCATACATTCATATGTGTGCCTTCCTGAAATATTGGCACCCCTGATAAACTTGAGCAAAATGGGCTGTAAAATCATCCAGCCCTATGAGAAAGATGAGAAAGACCAGAGAATTCAGCAATGATACGCAACAAAATGTTGCTGAGCTACACAAATCAGGAAATGTCTACAAGCTTAAGAAGTTGAAAATTCTCATATCCATTATCAGAGCAATTATGAAGAAGTTGGAGACTTAAATGGAAACGCATTTGGAGATGTTAGGAATCTACCAGAAAGAGGACATATGTCTATATTCATTCCACACACAGCTAGGAGGATGGTTAGAGAGGCCAAAGAATCTCCAAGGATCACAGCTGGAGAACTGCAGAAATTAGTTAGGTCTTAGGGTCAGAACTTCTTCCAAACTACAATGAGACACCACCTACAGTACTTATTGAAGTTGTTTGCCTCTGCACTTCTCTGTTCCTCTGTTTTAAATTTGTACTAAAACAATTCCCATGTGGTTAAAGTATATATTCACAGATGACCTTTGGAATATATAGCTTTGCAGGTGTTTGTGATTAGTCAGGTGTATATAAATGTCTATTTGGTGAATGTACAAGACAGATTTCAGCATCTAGTCTTGATTCTAGGCTTTTGGTCACCCTTGGAGTTTTGCTGTTTGTCAACATGATGACCAGACCTGTGCCAATGAAAGTTGAGGAAACTATTATAAAGCTAAGAAACAGGAGTAAAACAGTAAAACATCAACCAAACCTTAGATTTAACAAAATCAACTGTTTGGCATATTTACTAAGAAGAAAGAGTGGACTGGTAGGCCAGGGAAGATCTCCACAGCTGATGACAGAATCTCACCATAATTCTCAAACACCTGTCAATCAGTTCAGAAAAACTCTTCAGGAGGGAGATGTGGATTTGTCAAAAACTACTGTCTGCACTTCATGAACAAAAAATACACTGGCTATACTGCAAGATGCAAATCTTTAGTTAGCCACAAAAACAGAATGGCCAAGTAACATTTTGCTAAACTGCAGTTAAAAGAGCTTTCAGAGTTCTGGAAAAAGGTCTTCAAACAGATAAGTACAGGATGAACTTGTATCAGAGCAATGGCAAGTGTGGAGGTAGTGGTAGTGTTATGGCCTGGGTCTGTATGGCTGCCACAGGTTCTAACTAACTCATATTTATTTATGGTGTAACTGCTGATGGCAGTAACACAAATAATTCTGAGACATATAGAAACATCTTATCAACTGAAGGGAAACTGGAAAGTTTTTGACTGGCCAGGTCAGTCACTTGATCTGAATCCTATTGAGCATGCCTTTCAAATGCTAAAAAAATCTTAAGGGAATTTGCCCCTGAAACAAGCAGGAGCTGATGATGGCTGCAGCACAAGCCTAACTGAACATTACTAAAGAAGGTACACAACATCAAGGGCCTTATTTATAAAACACTGTGATTCCAGAGTGAAAGTGTGCATGTGCACAAAAATTTAGGAAATGGCTCACGCCCAAAAAAATTCAGATTTCTAAAACATTGAATATGCACTCTTGAGCGCAGTTTCCTTTTCATAAATCATTCATTCTTATATTCAATTATCCATAAATGGTCCATACAAATTACCTTATGAATGCTTAAATATGAGGTGTCCCATTTATTGTTGAGTGGGATAGTGGTGACAATGGCAGAGCGAAAGAAAAAAAAAGAAATTTTTGCATGTGAACAATTACTTTACAGCTGTTTAGGCTTGCAATTATCTGCATCTATTACTAGCCCACACTATTTATTTTGGCATAAAGATCAAGAACGCTGGAAGACAGAAGTAGATGTTTGAAGCAATAGATGTCAATACTTAAAAACAGGCTAATTAACTGGTACACTCAAACAAATAAATGAACACATAAAACAAAACACTGCTTAGGTATGAGTGATTTTCATGATTAGTGGCTTATTATAGAGCATAATTTGGTATGAAATGGTATGAGTGAGGACAAATTGCACATTTACCTGCAATTCTCTATTTACCACAGGGTGTCACCAATTCCTGCTCTCTCTCACTTTTTTATGGCATGGGTCAAAGCTTCCGTAAACGTATTCCTATTTTTCTGCCATGTATTTGTTTCCCTGTTTCTATGTGAGTTGGTGCATACACATATTCCAAACTGGTTTTGTGCATATGGACCATTTATAAATAAGGCCCTAGGCAATGCCTACTGCAGACTTCAGCAGTCACTGCATGCAAATGATATGTAACAACTTTGAGTAATTTACTGCACACATCACTGTCCCAATCATGCTTAAACGCAGCTGCAATTTCTACACTGTATGTACAGAAATGCTCTCTAATAAAATCTGTGCATATTCACTTTAACCATTTATACAAATTTAAAACAGTGGAGTACCGAGGTTAAAAAAATGGCATTTTTTTCTGCGCATTTCAAAGTATAATTTGTATTTGCTTAATTTGACATATTAGAAATCATAAAATAACCTTTGTTCCTGCCACAATGCATGCTTTTATTCCCAATATGGTATATTTAGCTAATAAATACATACGTTTCATTAAAACATGCATAAAAATGCCACATTTATATTTGTTTCCTGTGGAGGTTTTGTTTGTTTACTTTCACTTAAGGAATGAACAAAACATGTAATTTGACCAGGACTGTACAAACTACACATTGTTGCTTTTGCAGCAAACCCATTTTTCTTTTTCTTTGTTTTTTTGGAAATACCAGATGTTCATGTTAAAATTTCATGATGTAGGGACCAATTGAAACACTTCAAATTATTTTGAAAAAAAAAACTGGATCCATTAACTTCAATTAAATGTTAATAAGGTTTTTCTCCTTCTCCTGTAAATTTATACTTTTGAAGTTATGAGTTTTTGTCTCAACACTGATGATAAATATCAATCTTGATGATAATAATTATCTTGTAGACACTGGACCGCTGGCTTGATATTTGTTGGTACCTTGCTGATTGATTAATTAATTTCATTCTGAAATAGGCCTAGATTTTATTCACATAGATAGATCACTGTAGCCCAGTGATTGTCCCTAAGAAATATCTCTGGATAAGTCCAGGGTGTGTCTGAATAGAAAAAAAATGTCAGTAACTCACTGTATTTTCTCCAGTGTGCAGTGAGGATCCTCCTGTAGATCAGAGAGTAGCTTCACCCCACACTCTCCTGGGTCATTATAGGTGAGATCCAGTTCTCTCAGATGGGAGGGGTTTGATTTCAGAGCAGATGCCATAGAAGAACAGCCATTTTCTGTAACCATACAACCAGACAATCTGCAGAAAAGAGAAAGGTGCCTTACATTACATTACAGTAATACATGACAGACAAAGTGAAACCAAGCAAAGGGCATAGGGTGGTGGAGCGAGAGCATGTAGAGAAGGTACGATGCTGTATCAGAAACTGAGGAAGAAGCAAATTCATGCAGAGATGCTAATGAGCAGGTAACAAAAACCAGATGTGAGTATTAGGTTTGCACTCCCAAGAAAGTGGAGCTGGTCGAAACAGAGAGGCTGGATAGGTGGAATTATTTTTTTTTTTCCCTTTAGCATGAATAAGTGTTTGTTTGTGAACATTAAACATTTATGTTTCATTAAATGACATTTTTGTTTCTGTTTAGTATTGAAAATAAAAAAATGTTCACAAAAAAAAGACATTTTTGCAGTTTAGTTTCCATGTATGGACTACAAGAACTAGAGAACTGCACATTCAGAAACTTTGACACAGATTACAGTGTACATCAAATTAGTGTTGAAAAGAAAGCATATTAGGCATTTTCCACTTTACAAACCACACTACATATACACAAGGTTGGATCTGCAAATTTGTTCTCATGATAAATTATGTTCCGTGATACACAGCATGCACTAGGCTAGCCAAAACTGAGTTAAATTAGCCTAATGCAAATATATACTGATACTCTTTTTTATTTAGATGTTTTGAATGTATGATATGCTAACACCACTCCCTATCCTTACACTAAGTGGTGAAAATCTGCCTCTACAAAATCCCTAAAGTATCAACAATACATCAAAAAGACAAACAGCCTTTCTTAAAATATTTAAAGTAATATCTGTTCTTAGATCTCGTTTACGTTTTCCAGCATTTCACTGGATCAACTCATAAACAGGGCTACACGTGCCTTAAAGCGATCAGCCTAAAAATAAGCAAATAGAGTGAAACTGGACCTGTAGTACATTATGAAATCTTGAAAAATTCCATATATATGCATAACAAGGCATTGTTTTCTGAAAGACAAGAATTTCTCCAAGATTTCTAATGATAACAAAAATAACCGTAGAAAATTATTCTGTACTACAGTTTGTCTTTTAAATCCCTCACCAGCAACCATCAAGGAATCTTAATCAATGTGAGGAATGGGAGGAGTTTGCATTTTTTTTTTTAAATAAAATGGTTACATAAACATTACATCTAGTACTCACTCTGTGGTTAGTGGTGTATTGCATCCAACAGCCTATCGGCCACAGAACCTTTAGTAAAATTTCCCAGACACAGTCAACTATGCATTGGACCTAATTCCAACTTTTTTTTTCTATTTGATTGTCCCTGTAGCACAGTTTTAATTACAGTAAACCACTCTTAGTTGCCATGCTGCTTCCTGGACCCACTTAGATTGGCAGCAAGACCACTACTCAAGAAACACAACTTAAATTACAGACCGATTTCCAATCTGCTGTTCCTTGAAAAAAAAAATGAAAAAGAAAGCAATACACAAATAGCTTAATGTTTTTTCTTGTAAAACAGCATGTATGAAAAATTCTGTCACACTTTAGATCAGGTCACAATACAAAAATCTTTTACCTTGGTAAAAGTAGTTAATGATCTCAGAGTGAACACCTTGTTCTTTTGGACCTTACTGGACCATGATGTTGTAATCACTGTTTACTTCTAGACAAACTGGAAAACTGGATTGGATTTTCTGTGGTGGTTTTGTACATGTCTGACTGATAGACAGCATTTTGTAAACCTTGGTGAATTTGTATTTGAAAAGAATGACATTTAACCTTAACCTTAATGAACCTTTTAGCCAACTGTGTCTGAGCACATCGGAATTAGACCTCCGCATTTAACCCATCCGTGCAGTGAAACACCACATACACACCAGTGAACGCACACACACTAGGGGGCAGAGAGCACACTTGCCCGGAGTGGTGGGCAGCCCTATCCACGGCACCCAGGGAGCAGTTGGGGGTTAGGTGCCTTGCTCAAGGGCACGTCAGTCATGTACTGTCAGCTGAAGGGATCGAACCGGCAACCTTCCAGGCACAAGGCTGGTTCCCTAACCTCCAGCCCATGACTGTGGTATACCATAATGGTCTATGTTTAAGCCAATTCTTTTTTCATTATATATGCAGCCACTGGGCCATATCATCAGTGAACAAGGTTACATCTTTCTAGAAGCTCACTGGGGCTTGGACTTGGATTTTTTCCATTAAGATGCTTTGCAACACTGCCTGTTGCCTGTCCTTGGTGTTCACATCTCAGAGAATCTGACATGGATTGAACACACCACATGGGTGGTGAAGAAGGTGGTGGTTGGTCTAGTGTAGTGGGTAACACCTCTACCTTCTACGCAGTGGAAGGCACCACAACACCTCTTCTACCTCAGGTAGCTGAGGAGGTTTGGCATGAACCCTTGCATCCTCAAAGCATTTTACACATGTACTGTGGAGAGCATTTTAACAGGCTCCGTGACCACCTGGTATGGAAACTGCACTGCCATCGAGCGGAAAGCTCTGGGTGATATGGACATACCCGGCATACCTATGGCTGCTTGTCCCTTTACTGTCCAGCAAGCATGACCAGAACATCATGCCCAGGACATTAGACTCAGGAAGTGTTTTAACCTTCAGGTCATACCGCTGTTATTTTACACACTGTCAATAACTGAACTAAATATCATTGATATCAGAGCTTAGTGTCTAGCATCACAGATCTAATTCACAGAAAGTTCACCCGAGTATCTCCAGTTTACAGTGTGAACTCCTCAGTCCAGCAGAAAGCAGCTCCACTCCTGAATCCTGCAGGTCATTGTTACTGAGGTCCAGTTCTTTCAGAGTGGAGTTTTCTGATTGTAGAATTGATCTGAGATTTTCACAAGCCTTTCCCCCAATATTACACAAAGCTAGTCTGAAAAGGGAGAACAAATACAATGTATTTTTAGTATACTCACAGAAAGACTTCTGAATTCAAAAGGGAAAACATTTTGTTTACGCAATACACTACAAATTTGTGCATCTTTATGTTTCTGGAATTGCATAAGAGATACAGTAGAAATCACATGCATAAATCATAATCAGTGCTAGTAGTATTTTGAGTTTACAATTTATTATGCTGTTTTTCATTACTGTCATCATATTTAATATCACATATTTAATATCACATATCATCACATTCAATGGTCAATTCACAGAATGTTCACCTGAGTGTCTCCAGTTTACAGTGTAAACTCTTCAGTCCAGCAGAGAGCAGCTCCACTCCTGAATCTTGCAGACTATTCTTACTGAGATCCAGCTCTTTCAGGGAGCAGTTTACTGATTGTAGAGTAGAGCAGATAGTTTCACAAGAGTCCAAGGTGAGTTCACAGCCAGCTAGCCTGCCAATGAAGAATAAATGAGGAATAACAGTTAAAACAGGCACTGTTTATCAATAAAGTATCATAGAAATTATGTTTTTCTTTATTAATTGGTGTTAAAGTTTATGGGAAAACACAATTTTGAATAATTTATGGAAAAAGCCCTTTGATACTTAGAGTAATGCATATGTGTCTGTCAAAGTGTGCCATTTTCATTTTACCTTTTAACACTGCACAATTTTAACCCAATACTCATATCACCCAATTTATAAACCTAAATTCCAAAAAAGTTGGGACAGTATGTAAAAGACTCATTAAAACAAAAAAAACAGTGTTTATTAGTTTCTGTTTGACCTGTTTTAAAAAGAAAACAGTACAAAAACCTAATATTTGATGTCTAATGAAATTGTTTTTTTCTGTAAAATGTGCTCATTCCAAATTGACGCCCTGATTCCAAATTGGGTGCTGAGTGGTGTGACATTCAGTATATGAAACTTGATCAGAGCTCTCCCACTACTGATTGGCATTTCGACTCTCATTTGGCTCAGCTCAATTCGTAAAAGTGAACACTTTCGGTTTTTCATTAAGCAGCATTTTGCATTTTTTCTCCCAAAATTAGCCACATAAACAATATTATCTATTATTCAATTTTCAAAAAACTGTGATTTATGATTTGAATATGTATGATGCTGATATATTACATCAGGAAACATATTAATTAATTAAACTGATTAATGATTGAGGCATACTATTAATATTATGTAATATTATGCTCTTACACATCCCTCATATGAGAACTAGAGCCATTCAGGACCCAGGAACTGGAGCAATCTAGGCACAGGAACTGGAATCATCCTAAGCACAGGAACTGGGTCAGCTCTAGTTGTGATTGCCACCCCAGGGGAGGTGGCTAGGGGAACCACCACAGTAGAGGAGGTTCTGGGAACCACAGGTGTAGTAGTTTGGGGTGGCATGATGAGAACAGGCATCATCAGGCCAATGCTCTCCATAGCACTGGTCAGAGCCTTGGAACCCTGCACTGTCTCACTGGCCATTCTCCAGAACTCTGGGCAGCACTGTGGAAACCAGTGATGGCTTGCAGGAGCCATAGACAGTGCTGTGAGACCCTCCTCTGCCAATGGGAACTTGCCACTCGGCAAAACAGGGACTGTAGTGATATCGACATAGCCCCTCCCCCGCAAAAATGTGTGAGCCTTCTCCACTCTCAGCACTGGACCAAAGGCAAACAAGAAGAGGCTCCAGAACTTCTCCAATGAGTGAGCCACTTTGCCATATGAGGCTCACATGTGAACTGTCCAGTCTGTAGCAGGCCCTTGCAGTAAAATAACGAAGGCCACGAAGGCCACTTCAGCTTCCTCAGACTTGAATGACTCACTAAATTGGGCCAAATAACAGGCACTCACCCTTGAAGCCCCAACACAGCTTTGGCTCCCCATAGTAAAAGCTGGGGTAAGCTGGTGGCGTGGAGACAGGCTTGTTGACAGGCTAAGTCTTCTGTAACATATGGGCTTAAGCAGGTTGCAAATCTGAAGAGGCCTTATTAGTGGCATTCTAATATTCAGAGTCTAGACAAGCAAATCATCCTAGACTTGTTTACTACCTCCTGTAAACCCCTTTGTTTGATTTAGAGGTTGCAAAGTCTCTGTGTTTCTCTGTGTTTATCCCCTACATTCCAGGCCTGTTTAATCCCATGGCAACGCAAGAAAAACTCATCTATTCAGCAAGTACCACTGATTACTGTAATGCTCTGTTTACTGGGTTTCTTAAGAAAACAATACTTCCCTTAGAATCTGCATGCATCCAAAACAAAAAAAAGACTACACATCTCATCACGTTTTGAAAACGACTAGCTGCTTGGATCTTTTGGATTAATTTGAAGTTATTTTATGTTTTAAAAATAGCCTAAAACCAATTATGAAAAAAAGTAGAGAGATTGTTTGTTTTTATGTTTCAGAACTGTAGAACTCAATTCCACATTTGTTTAGATGGTTATATTGGAAGAAAAGTCATTAGGCTAGCAAAAGATATTCCCTAATGTGCAAAATGTCCCTCCTCAGCTGCTCAACACCCCTAAAACCACCAAACCTAACACAGAAAGTTAACAAAACTTGAAAGAAAGTGCATAAATGAACACCTCCAGCAGAGGGCATTATTAAGTGAAATAGGTCCAGGGCCTAACTTAAGGAGTTAGATAGAGATATTTACCCATAAGTTACTCCTTATATTATAAATGAGGCTATATCACATATTAAAATTGCTCATAATGTGTATATTGTGTTGTTATTGTTATTAATAATAGTATTACAGTGGCATGGTAGCGTGTGTGGTGTTTTTAAAAGTGTATCAGACACAGCGGTGTTACTGGGGTTTTATACATGTCAGTGTCACTGCTATGTTGACAGTTGAGATCTAGGGAAAAGCAGATCTGTAGTCAAAACCTGACTAGAGGATGGCTAACACAAATTGTGCATTATCATATGAGCTAAAGTCTTTAACTGTACACAAGCAAGGTAGCCACAAGATAGGGGATTCTAATGAAGTGGACTAGAAGTGTTTTTTCTGCTGTTATAATAATGTGCAAAAACGTGAATACTACATAATGTACTTAAAAACTATAATCTTCCAATTATGTGAAGGCAATAATCATAATAAATCACCAGTTTTCAAATATTAATAAAGATATTAATGTGTAACACTCACATAGCCTTTCTGCAGACGGTCACAGCCGGGACCAGTCGTCTATAACCCTCACCTGATGTGTTGTATTTCTTCAGGTCCAACTCATCCAGTGCCTCCTCTGAGATCAGAAGCATGCAGGCTAGTGCTGAACATTGTCCAGGTGAGAGCTTCTTTTCTGAGTGTTTATGTGATCTTAGATACACCTGAATCTCTCTGGATAGAGAATGGTCATTCATTTCAGAAAGACAGAGAAACAGATTAATGGACCTCTCGGTGGAAAGAGATTTGTTGATTGGGATGTGATATTGTTGATCTTCATCTCCTTTAATTAATTTCTTGATGTACTGTGTGGTTTTCGCTGTGCTGCTTGATATGTGTGTCAGCAGACCCTGTAGGAGTCTCTGATTGGACTCCTGTGAGATGCCCAGCAGGAAACGGAGGAAAAGATCCAGGTGCCCATTCTGACTTTCTATGGCTTTATCCACTGCTCCCTTCAGCAGCTCATCCAGTGGAACATTCTCAGTCCACTCTCTGTATTGTGGTTTAAAACTCTGCAGCAACTTGATGTTCTTTATCTCACAGCAGTGAAACACAAAGACAGCTGCCAGGAACTCCTGAAAGCTCAGATGAACAAAGCAGTAGACCTTCCTCTGGTGAAGCACACATTCCTCCCTAAAGATTTCAGTAAAAATCCCAGAATACACTGAGGCCTCAGTGACATCAATGCCACATGCTCTAAGATCTTTTTCATAGAACATCACATTGCCCTTCATCAGCTGTTTGAAAGCCAGTTCAGCCAGTTTTAGAAGAATGGCTCTGTTGGACTCCAGCAGGTTCTTTGGGTCTCTCTCATCTTTCTCCTCATACTTCTCGTTCTTCATGTTTGTCTGAGTGATCAGGAAGTGTGAGTACATTTCAGTCAGAGTTTTAGGGATTTCTGTATGACGCTGTTTCACGATTCTCTGAAGAACAGTGGCTGAGATCCAGCAGAAGACTGGAATGTGGCACATGATGTGGAGGCTCCTCGCTTTTTTAATGTGTGACATGATTTTCTTGGCTTGGTCTTCATCACTGATTCTCTTCTTGAAGTACTCCTTCTTCTGTGGGTCATTAAATCCCTGAATTTCTGTCACACGGTTGATGTATTTAGGAGGGATCTGATTGGCTGCTGCTGGTCGGGAGGTTATCCAGCACAGAGCAGAGGGAAGCAGCTCTCCTTTGATGAGGTTTGTCATCAACACACTCACTGATGATGTCATGGTGATGTCAGATACTTTGTCACACTGTTCAAAGTTCAGTGGAATTCTGCTTTCATCCAGGCCATCAAATACGAAAACAGTTTTGCACTCATCATATATCTTTGGGTATAGATCTTTGAGCTCAGGATGGAAGTCACATAGAAGTCCATGAAGACTGTATTCATCATTTTTAATCAAGTTCAGCTCCCGGAATGGAAGCACAAACATGAAATCTACATCCTGATTGGCTTTTCCTTCAGCCCAGTCCAGAATGAACTTCTGCACAGAGACAGTTTTTCCAATGCCAGCAATGCCTTTAGTCAGCACAGTTCTGAGATTTTGTACTTTTTGTCCTTTATCTTTTTTTGTTTCTTTGTGTTTGTGACCTTCAGCTGTCACAGATGTAATGTTATATTCTTCAATTTCTTCTTTGTTCTCTTGTTCTGTATCTCCTTCAGGACCTCGTAGAGGCTTAAAGACATCTAAGCAGTTGAGTGTAATGTCTTGTAGGTGTTTCCTGGATGTTTTCTCCATCTGTAGAACCTCATGTTCTTCATTTACTCCCTCACTTTCTCCCTCTATGATGTAGAGCTGTATATAAATCTTATTCAGGAGGGTTTTATTCTCTTGTGTTTTGATTCCCTCGAATAAGCTCTCATACTTGTTCTTCATACAGATTTTATGTCTCTCTAAAACTCTGTGAAGGATACCATTCATTGGTTGGTCAGAATCCTGATGGAGGTGTCCAGTTCCCTCCACGAGAGTGAGTGCCCTCAGTGCGGCTGTGGACTGCTCTCTGATGGATGTCAAATACAATAATACAGACAAAATGAACATAAATGACCATAAACTACTTACAATGCCTGTGAGTGAAGATCCTGCTTATCACATACAATGTCTCTTTTCCATGTCATTATCACCTGTTGTTTGAAATTAAATGTGTACATAATTTAGGAGATTCTCTCTGTAGGTTTGCATCAGGATCCAAAGATGAACTTCATGCCTTGTCTTTTGAAACCCAGCGTGTCCCAAATTCTGAAGGTTGGAATGACCAATTATGCATTTTGTTACCGCTGGGTGGCTCAGAATAATTATTCCTCAACATATCATATTCAAATAGTTCATGAGCCTTCATATGTTTGACTTAGTAATCAAGTGATTTTTCCTGACTGAATCTGGTACTTATGTCTACACTGTCAGAAAAAATGATACTGTCCAGGTAATTTTTAGTCTCCTAAGGAACAAACAATGTTCATATAACTCAGTGGTACTTAAAGTCCACTGGCATACCTCAAATGGCTTTTACATTCCTTCTTGCAAGGGGCATGTTTGTACATTTTCTTAACTTTAAATATAAAAACAAAACAAAAAGCCTTAAGTCAAGATAGGTTGCAACATAATATGGCATAGTTATGTTCAAGATGTACCCTTGAGGTTACCACCCCATTAACAGGGTTTCAGTGCCCTGAAAGGTACTGTTTTTTCTGAGTGTGTAATATTATGTCTGGAATGCATGGCATGGAAATCAATAGTAAATGCAGGACACATTTTTAAGCTATATATATTTTAGGCTATATGAGTATTTGTGTTACCAATCTCTGTACATTTCTACAGGTCATTCATATGACCATACCACACAACCAGATACTGGACATGCTGGACTGTCCTTCTACACTACTGTGATCAACTACACTATCACAGTCAATGAACAGCAGAAAGTGTCTGCTATGATTATCTTTCACCATTGCTTCATTTATCATCATTGTTATCCTGAAGCATAATAACTCACTCTGGGTCAGAGGGCACAGGTCCACTGCTGAATAAAGGACGCTGGCCCATAAAATGGTCCTTCATAGACACACCACTGGATACTGAAGAAACTGCACTCTTGGTCTGCAACCTGAAAACACCATATATCGACATAATACAGCACCTTTATTAATCAATCCATTTTAAAAGATTCTTTGTAAGGTCATATTCCGTTTGCTAAATGTCATTAAAAACAAATAACAAATTTAAGTGTACCATGCTCACAAAGTGAAACAAATGTTGTGTATGTTCCATGTAATATGCTGGACTGGAAGCAGTGCTGCTATCCAACTCTTAGCTATGTGCTTGGTGAGTGTTCCAAAGTGTTCAATTAGTCCTCCTCTGATTAAGAGACACTGTAGCTAATCAAGAGTGGAGTATGGACAATTTAAAAGAGACTCTCCATCCCAGCCATGCATGAGAGATTGAACCCTTTTAAACGTAGTTCCTGTTAATTGCTGGACAGCATGCTTGCTGTTATCTTGCTAGTCTCTTGCAGCTTTTTATGTTTTCAGTTAGCTGTTGCATATTAATTGTAATTAATTACAAATAATGATTTCTGGAAGTCATTTTCTCTCGTTGGATTTGCAGGTCAACTGGAAAGGACTTAATTAACATATATTGGGAACACCTGACACCATTACCAACTAAAAAGGTTGCACTGTTGTGTGCTTGCTTGCTCACTATTGTTCCGCTTTTAAATCTCATTTTTAATCTTTCAAGTGTTGGGATTTTGTTTTATTTTCTTTTTGTGTTGAGTCCTTGAGAAAGCAACTCTGTTTGTTTTACAACAGGATCCAGGACAGGATGAGAACACTGTTTTTGGCGTTTTATGACTGAACTATGGAATGGGGGTGTACTAGCCACGGTAAAAGTTGCATTTGTGGGAGATTTATTGCAGATGCTGGATATGTACATTGTGTGCAAATAAAAAGGAGAAATTGTGTAAGAAGTTTGTTATCCCAGAGAACTTCGAATGGAGTCAAAACCAATGTTTTATGGCTCTGAGTGAATGTGTGAAGAAAAGGGACCTTGCAGGGTGTGTTCAGGTGTTTCGGCAGTGAAACGCCTTGATAATGACAGGAAAACAGCAATTTATAGAACAGTGTGCAGCGGCCTATGCAGAAAAATATGTGAACACACTCAATGCTCCATTAATGTCCTTCAGGCAAAGGTGGAATTATTAAAGAGAGAGAGAAACGAGTCACAAAAATCAGGTCAGGTGCAAGCAACAGAAAGTGAAATGACATCAAAGTGCCTGTGGCCCAATGGGCTGATAGTTTGACTTCAGACATGCATCATTTGATTCAAATGTGCATCTGCATGTATCTACTGTGTTAAAGACTGTAGCCACCCAACGAACAGATTGCCAGCAAAACCCAGAAGCCATATGATGAAACATGCCACTACTGTGGTAAAACATGATCATTGGGGCCGTAGTTGCAAAAAGAAAAGACATGCAAGCTTGGGGAAAACCCAGCCCCAGGTTGGGGGTGGGCCTATCTCCCCTGAGGTGGCAGGACAGCTGTTAAAACTCATACAGCAGGCAACTCAATCGTCTGCTTCCCCCACCCACATAGAACATTTCTTTAAACTAGAAATGTCTGCTGTGAGAGCATGAATTACACTCTCGCACTGTCCTGAGAGACTGTGGCTTCATTGCACACCTCTACTGCACTTATGTATTGTATTGTGTTGCACTGTTCTGTGTGCAACTCTGTTCCTTTTTCTCTGGGTATCAACAGTGACTTTTTATAAATGTAATGTTTCCAGCCAATTACATATAAACAAGACAAGAAGCTGTTTGTCAAAATCACTGTGAATGATCATGAATGTGATTTCTTGATACGAGTGCGCAAGCTACTTTAATGCCTTCATCCATGGCCAAGGATGTTGGCCTTCTGTTTATTAAAACTGCCATTGTAATCACTAAGGTGACTGGGGAAAGTTATGATACCTATCAAACAGAGCCTGCGTGTTTAAACCTTGGCCCTTAATCTCTTTCATTCTCCTTAGTAATGGCTTCCATCAAAACACGTCCAATTCTAGGTATTGATGCTATTTCCCAGCTGCATATACAATTGGATTTTCAGTCTGAAAAGCCTAAGCTCACTATTCTTGCACCTCAGATTTCAGATCCTTGTATTATTAACCATACTATTTGGTCTGAAGATAAGGATAAATGTGGTCTGTTCGTTGTTGAATCTGTATGACTGACTGGTACACCTCCACTAGCCACTAAGCAGTATCCAGCTAGGGAAGGTACTGAAGGAATTTGACCAATTACTAGTGAGTTTCCATGGTGTGTAGAGAACCATTCAAATGGGTCATCATTTTTAGGGGACATTCCTATAGTGTCTTGGGGGTTTGTAGTGCAACTTAATCATAGACATAATAGCTACACTCAACAAAGACTGCCTAGCTTCACAGCAAAATCAATACAATAAGATTGCATTCATTAGTCTGGTCCATGGATAAACTAGTTATCAGTTAACACATTTTTCAGGGTTCCTGCACCCACAGAAACCTACTGGTTATGTGGAACCACAGCCTTTAGTGAACTACCCACCAGTTTCAATGGTCGGTGTTCACTGATTTATCTCTTACCAACCATGAGACCACAACAGTCTATATATTTTCAATCAAGTAATGTCAATAATGCAAATCATGGTATTCATGAAAAAGGTTCCAATCATTCCTTTTGTGATGATTTTAATCATCAGACAATGATCCCAATCCGTGTTTTGAACATTTGACATGAAGTCAGACATTCTGGAGTAGGTTTTTAGGTGTACTCATTCCAAATTATGGAGTTATGAGAGCTTTGGATCAAATGCATATTTTATCTCATGAAGTTGAAAAATTAACTAATAAAATTGCCAAGCTTTAGGTTTCATCCCAGAGACATTGCACTCACATAGACTGATGATATTACAAAACAGAATTACGTTATACTATGTCTGAGCACAACAAGGAGGCACATGTTCAGTAATTGGGCCTAAATGTTGTTCTGATATCATCGTCCCAACACAGGACCTCTACACCTATATTAAAGATTTAGATGACCTATGTGAACACATTGCTTATATAGATCAGACAAATACAGATTATCTACTTGGTTGGGACCATGGTGGATGCACTGCCATGAGATTATGTTGATTTTTGTCACACTCTGTGTAATAATTGTAATCATCTACGTCATAATACATGGTTGCTATATCTGTATGTAGCATATAGCAGCTACCAATATTATTATGCTAAGCCCAACTAATATTGTGTCAAGGCATTACATCTGATGTATTGGTAGCTTATCTTACATAACCTAAAGTGTAAACACCTATTCCATGATGGAATATGTAGATGAATAACCGATTTTTGAACAAAATATAGCATAGTAATTACATGAGTTGTATTAAATGCTTCAGTTGTGTTCAAGGGGGGGATTGTTGGGATTTTGTTTTATTTTCTTTTTGTTTCATTTTTCTCTTTGTTATGCTTCTATGGTTTTAAGTGTTAAAAAACTAGCAGACCAGCATTCATTTACGACAGTACAAATAGCATTTTATGACCCCAACCAAGCACAAAATATAGGCTTTCTGGGAACAGAACAAAAAGTGTATGACACTAAAGCATTTGATCCAGGACAAGATGAGAGCACTGTCTTTGACCTTTTATAACTGAAACTATGGTGTTGGGGGTGTTCCAACCAAGGTATAAGAATCTGTTTTTAAACTGCTGTTTTCAGACCAGTTTTGGGAGATGTTCAGTACATATTGAAAATAAATTCTCATTTTCTGCAAATCTGCAAGAAAGGAGAAGGAAGGAGAAGGTCTCCCCCACCTCCTCCACCAGATAACACCTCTGATATTCAGAGGTTACTTCAACAAACTGAGCTAGTTAAAATTATTTCCTCCTCAAAATCTTCTACTTGCATATTAGATCCTACAAGTTTACTTAAAAATATTTAGCCAGAAATAACCAATTTTCTTCTCTCAATAATAAACTCTTCTCTATATACCAAAAACTCTTAAACTAGCAGTAATTAGACCTCTGATTGAGAAATCTAATTTTGATCCCTGTGAGATAGCAAATTATAGACCTATCTCAAATCTTACCTTTATATCAAATATTTTGTAAAAAGCTAAGCTCCTATTTGCAGTGGAATCATGTACAAGAAAAATTCCAGTCTAGATTTAGACCCCATCATAGTACAGAGACAGCACTAGCTGTTAGTTATTAGTTATATAAAATTATAAATGATCTCTTATTATCCTCTGACCAAGGAAATGTAACTTTACTGGTTCTGTTTTATCTGCATGCATTTGCAGTGATGCACTTGATAAGATAGACCATTCTATGTTGCTAGATAGACTAGAATACCTTGTAGAAGTAACAGGAATAGCTCTTTCCTGGTTCAGATCTTACCTGACTGATTGCTATAAGTGTGAATGTAAATGGCAAATCATCTGTTCTTACAAAAGTACAGTATGCTTTTCCACAAGGCTCTATTTTAGGACCTCTATTATTCACAATTTACATGCTACCACTGGGTACCATCTTCAGTAAACATTGTATCAATTCTACTGCAATGCGGATGACACACAGTTGTATTTTTTGACCAAACCAGATTGATAAACTTCAATTTAATAAGATTGTGGAATGGTTAAAAGACATAAAACACTGGATGTCAAGTAACTTCCTCCTACTCTTCTCATACAGAACAGAGGTTCTTCTTGGTCCAAAAGCTGCTACAAACAAACTGTCTAATTTAATGCTTAAACTTAATAGTTTCTCAGTTGCACCAGGAGAATCTGTAAAAACCTTGGCGTCACAACCGATCCTGATCTGTCCTTTGATGCACGTATAACCAATAGTACTAGCATAGCTTGCAAGGGTCCAACCTGGGCCACCGGCCGCCAGCAGTGGGCTACGGTGGCGAGGCACCACAAGTTCAGGGAACTCCAATTCCCAGAAGCCCTTGGGCTGATTAGGCCCAACCTGGCACACCTGTGGACACCTCTACTTAAGGCCGTGGCAAACAGGAGCCCTCTGTCACACCTTTGAAGAGGGGTGACCAGTATGATACTTAGCCCAGGTGAGTATTTAGACAAAAAGAAAAGAAAAGAGGGCTGGAAATAAAAGAGAAATTGCCCCAAAATAGCAGAAAGAAGAAAAAGATGGCTAAAAGAAATAAACTGCCCCAAAACTACTTAAAAGCAAAAAAGAACAAGAAACGGCTCCAAGCCAAACCAAAAGTGTTTGTTCCACAAACAACAAACAGGTGAAACATAAAGCTGATCTTCCTCTCATAATCACAGCTCATTAGTGTTATTTTGAAGGACAGTAACTCACTCTGGTTCAGAGGGTAAAGCTCCACTGCTGAATAAAGGAGGTTTCCCCATGGATGCATCACTCTTCACAGATGCGCAATTGGGCTCTCCTCCACAGCTGAATAAAAGAGGTTTCCCCATGGATGCATCACTCTTCACAGACGCGCAGCTGGGTTCTCCTCCACAGCTGAATAAAGGAGGTTTCCCCATGGATGCATCACTCTTCACAGATATGCAGCTGGGCTCTCCTCCACTGCTGAAAAAAGGAGGTTTCCCCATGGATGCATCGCTCTTTATACATGCACAGCTGGGCTCTGGAGACCCTGATTTCTGGGTTTCAGCCCTGTTCATATTAAACAGACATTTATAAAAAAAAAATTACAATCATGTGTTTTTAATTGACAAGCTGTCTATTCATCTTTCTAGCTTGTATTAGCAAGCATACCGGTCTGAAGTTGTAATGTTCATAATTTCGCTCTGCATGAATTAGGTTTCTGGATCAGTGGAGTTCTTATAATTAAGAAGACATCTATAGTGTTCCAAAGTTAGAAAGATAATGGTATTTGTTATGTAGCAAATATTTTGAATGAATCTGGTCAATTACTCTCACTGGAGTTCTCAAACATTCCCTATAAAGTAGAAACAACGTAGCACTGTCTTTATGCTTTCCCCCAGGTCTATTCATGCAAATGTAATGTCATAAGTTCTTAAGTGTTTTCTAAAGTTAAACCGTTGCTTCATATTAAAGATCTGAACTAGTGGTTCCCAATTGATCTTAACCCACCCCCGCCTCCATCTATATTTTAATGTTGTTAATCTAAAAACATTTTGAAAGATTTGTTTTTTGTTAATGCTTCATCTAAATGTGGATACAGAGTAGATATGAAATCTAAAGATTTGGGTATTGATTTTTATTGAATTGTTGCTTCTGTAACATTTATTTTAAATCTGATCATCCTTTTTCGGAATTAGAAATACAAAAAACAATGCATTCACTGAGTCTCTAAATGTCAAAGTTTTAATACTTTTACGCATGTGAAACATTTAAATGTAATGAAAGACTTACATGTGTTGTCAATGTTTGCTTTGTTTTATGGTTGGCTTATTGATGTTGACAACTCATATCTCTACCGTATCTTTAGGGAATCACTGGTAAAATCTGACAAATCTGGTGGTTGGTATAGTGTAGTGCTTAACACACTACAGACTGGGGTTCAATTCCCCACCTGAGCAAGCACCCTATACTATACAAATGAGAGTCCTTAGGCAAGAATCCTAACACTACCTTTACTTCATTTGACTAGATCTATCTACTTGCATTTTTGCATATTTTACTTTAACATTGTTAGCTGCCAGAATTACCATATCAACCAAATACTGTATACCATTGCTGTTCTGGTTGCTACCTCAGTGACTGCTATGCTCATATATGCTAGGCTATCTGCTAAGCTGCTAATATGTCATAATATGTTACATCCTTATTGTTTTGCATGTGTGTTCCTGTGTTGGTCCTGGAGGAATGTTGTTTCGTTTCACTGTGTACTTGTATATAGCTGAAATGACAAAGCCTGACCTGACTTGACATACCTGTACAAAATAATCAAACTAAGTTGTTCTGGATAAGAGTGTCTGTCAAATGCCATAAATGTAAAATGTAAAATGTAAAATCACAAATAAAATCTTACATCTTGTGGTTTTAAGATTAAACATTGCATAAAGACATACCATTCATGCTTTTCCAGCTACTAAGCATGCACATATCTCCAAAACAAAGCATGTTTTTTCATGCTTAGGTTGATTGGCTCCATTTCAAACAGCCAGCAACTTGCAGCACTGCTCATTCTATGTGGCAGTGTCTCAGTGGCTAAATGAAGCTTTATTTCTGCTATTTTTATTTTTTTCCTAAAAAATATTTTTTATGCAGAATACAGTCAGTATTGCTGCCATTACAGAATGCTTTAAGCAAGAAGCGAAAATGCCTGCTACTTCACTCTACTTACATACTCTGGTGCACACAGAGATCTGTAAGATGCCATTAAGTTTTTTCTGCTTTCAGAAAGAAATCACCCCAGAGTGCAATTATTAGCTTATTCTTTCTTATTTGATTGAATTATGGGGAAACTGCAGAAAAAATGTCTCAACAAATAAATAAATCAATAAACAAATAATAAAAGCACAGCCTAACTCATAGTCTGTATCTAATATTTCCATTCCTAGTCCATGGCAGAAATCACTCTTACAATAACACTTTTGGCAAGTCAGATTCATCAAAAATATCTTGTAAACAGAAACAATTACATCATGCCATTACTTGCTATTCTATGTTTTCAAGATGTCAGTGGGTGATACTGTTTATTTTCATCAATGCTTTTTGTTTTGATAAACATATCTTTATATACTATATTACACTTTCAGCTGAACTGTTTAGAAAAAGTGGAGCTGCAAACAGAATTTACATTTTGCATTATTTTGTAGCAGATTTTGCTTTAATAAACATAAATAATCTTGCTGAGACATTGTTATATAATTTGCCAAAAACTAAAATATGTATTCGACTCTGTGAGTCATAGGCTACTTCTTTAGTGCCCAATCAAAACAAAAGTCATATTTTTGACCTGCGAGGCAAAATCTTAACATATCACTCTAGTGAGGCAATCACTTGACCCTGAAAGTTTAAATAAGGTTATTCCTCTGGTAAATTATTTAGTGTCTGCTCTTGACAAGACTTGTTTAAGACTCTAATGCAAATGTATTACTGGTTTTAAAAGAAAGTGCAGAATAATCTATATATCATAACAAAACGTGCGGCCATGAGACGCTTAAACTTCACACATTTTATTTGATTTACTAATCAGCAGCATTTTCAACATCTTCATCCATTTTTGACACAAATCTTCCCATTTCCCCATGGTCCTCCCTTGAATGCATATGCTTAAGGGGGTGTTTTTCTATGCACACAGCACAAAAACAGGGTTTAGGCTTGTACACCAATTTTGAACATAAAATGCAGGCAGAATGCACATGAATTGTGTCTGAAATTGGTGGAAATGGCTTAGTAAATCAGGTCCAGAGACTCTCCAAAGCACAAGACCAAATAGAGGCGGATATACACCATATGGACAAAAGTATTGGGACACACCTTTTAATCATTGAATTCAGGTGTTTCATTCAGTCCCATTGCCACAGATATATAAAACCAAATACCTTGCCATGCAGTCTGCATTTACACACATTTGTGAAAGAATGGGTCGTTCTAAAGAACTCTCTGATTTTGAGCATGGTGCTGTAATAGGATGCCAATGTTCTTCCCTCCAAGATATTCTGTGATCAACTGTGAATGGTATTATTGAAAGTTTAGGAACCACAGCAACTCAGCCATGAAGGGTCAGACCATGTAAAGTTACAGAGGAGGTCGCCGGGTTTTGAGGCGCATAATGCATAAAAGTCTCCAACACTCTGCTGATCAATAACTGCAGAGTTCAAACCTCCTCTGGAAATCCTAATGCCTCAGCAGACCAAGACATTTTGGACAATAGTATGTTTCCAACTTTGTGGGAACATTTTGGGGAAGAACCTTTTTCTGTTCCAGCATGACCCATACCCCAGTGCACAAAGCAGCTCCATAAAGGCATGACTGGGTGAGTTTGGTGTGGAAGAACTTGACTGACCTCACAGAGCCCTGACCTCATTCCCATCAAACACCTTTGGGATGAACTAGAACAGAGATTGTCTGACCTCACAAATGCTCTTCTGAATGAATGAGCAAAAATTCCCAGGCACACTCAAATCTTGTAGAAAGTCCAAAATACTTTTGTCCATGTGTAGGTGACTTAATGAGTTCACACAAAAAATCACTGGTGGGTGTGATGATGAAGGGGTGAAGCCCAGGAGGAGCAGATGCTGAAATAAGCCATTTCAGACTGGGCAGGTCCAAACACAATAAAAACAGAATATTTAACAACATGGCAATTCACATATCATTAATATTCTGTTTTATAGCTCCTACATGGGAGCATACAGTCCAAAACAATAACTGACATGATGGACAAAAATAACTGGAAAACTCCAGGTAATGACTGCATTACCCCACATCCACATGTAAAACTGATCCCATCCAAATGATACTTTAGTAATTTCTACAAATAACTGTTAAACATAGTACCACACAGCCAGACATGCTGCACCGTCCTTCTCCACTGCAGTCACTGTCATGGAGGAAGTGCACTCTCATATGTGCTAAAGGTTTCCATCTATTGCAGGGGTGTCTTACCCACGAAGGGCTGCAGCTTGTTATTCCAACAAAGCAGAAGCATACCTGATCAGCATACCTGGGATAAGACCAACTGATCAAACAAGTAGAATCAGGTGTGCTTTAGCTTTTTTAGCAACCACACCAGCTCTTTGCAGGTAACACTGGACATCCCTGATCTATTGCTTTATTTCTCATTAGTGTTACTCTGAAAGATAGTAACTCACTCTGGTTCTGAGGGTAAAGCTCCACTACTGAATAAAGGAGGTTTCCCCATAGATGCATCACTCTTCACAGATATGCAGCTGGGCTCTCCTCCTCTGCTGAATAAAGGAGGTTTCCCCATGGAAGCATCACTCTTCACAGATATGCAGCTGGGCTCTCCTCCACTGCTGAATAAAGGAGGTTTCCCCATGGAAGCATCACTCTTCACAGATATGCAGCTGGGCTCTCCTCCACTGCTGAATAAAGGAGGTTTCCCCATGGATACATCGCTCTTTATAGATGCACAGCTGGGCTCTGGAGGCTCTGATTTCTGGGTTTCAGCCCTGTTAATATTAAACAGACTGAAATAAATCCTTGTTTGTGTTGTACGAAATGCAGCTCAAAGTTCAGAAATACAGATGAGATGTCCTCAGTATAGCTGTTTACTGATGGCAGTGATTTACCATGAAAAATAGGTTTCTTCCTTACTGCTGGACCTGATGGGCTCAAAGCTGGACTGGCGCCTTTTCACGCATACACAGCTGCACAGTGGAGATCCTGCACGCTTTACCCTGAGAGTGTTTCACCAACAATTAAAGTATTATATAATTGACTTCCATGTTATTACTAATTAAATAGGAGCACAAGAGACAAAAATATTTCAAATTTATTTTCTATTTCGTTAACTGTTTCTTTTCATACCAAGAGCTGAAGAAAACTTACTTACTTTGGATCAGAGGTTTGTACTCCAGTGCTGGATTTATGAAGTTCCACCATGCAACTATACCTGATAAACAAAAAGTACAATGTTTTAGGTCAGGGGTTCTTAACTCCAGTCCTATGCCCCCCCTGCCCTGCACAGTTTAAAGTTCCCTCTACACTAAATGTTCCGGATCCAAATGAAGAGCCCATTATTGAGCCCTTGATGAGCTGTGGCAGGTGTACTGTAGGTAGAGAGTATTTCAAACTGTTTAGGGCAGGGGGTCTCTGACTGAAGTGAAGAACCCCTGTTTTTAATGAAAACAAATACTCCTTTACTAATCATCACTGTGACACCCTTTATTCCAACACATTCATTACTAACCATTAACAATATCAATTTTTAATAATTAAGTTGTCTCCAGATTTGTTTATTCTGCTTCGAGTCTTTGTGTGATATTCAAGATTTTATCCATAAACCTTATTAATGTGTATATGTACAGTTTGTTTGAAGAAATGAGTAACACCACATAAAAAAAGTTTCAGAATGAACAACAGGGGTAAGTTTTGAATGTTTAGATTCATGTTTGTGTTATCAATGTTTAGATGAGTTAAATCTACTTTATTTTTCTACATGCCAAATTGTATTTGGCATTTTATACTCCATAATATTTTGAAAAAAAAAAATCATATTTTTAATTAACAAGCTGCCTATTAAGCTTTCTAAATTTTATCAACAAGCCTACTGGTCTAAGGTGGTGATGTTCATAATTTCTCTCCACATAAATAAGGTTTTTGGATCAGTGAAATTCTTTTAAGTTGCAAAGTTTGGAAATACAATAGTATCCATACAGCAAATATTTTAAATGAATCTGGTTAATTACTCTCACTGGAGACTTCATACACATTCCCTATAATGTCGAAATAATACAGCAGCGTCTGTGTTTGTAAAGTTAAACCATTGCTTCATATTAAAGGTGTGAACTAGTGGGTCCCAACCTGATCCTCAGGGCACCCCAGATGGTTCCTTCATCCCTCTGAGTTGCGAGTTAGGTTGGAGCAAAATGTGGAACAAGAATTGCTCTAATAAACTTATTACAGTATTTTCCACACCAAAAATAAAATTAAGCCTTGAAGAATATCATTTTAGAGTTCTCATCTCATTTTAGAGTTCTTGAGCCCTGATCTCCTGCTTATAGGTTTGCATTTCTAATAATATCCTAAAACTTAATTAAAAGTCTTACATGATCATGATGTGTAATTGTAATCTTTCTTAGTTTGTATATGTTAAACATAATTACTCATTTTGCACAGAAAAAAATATAGAAGAAAATGCTTCATATTTTTTAATTTTGTTATTCTAAAGACATTTGGAAAGTTTTTTTTAATATTATTCTTCATCTAAATCTGGATAAAGAAGAGATAAAATTTAAAGATGTGGATATTTGTTTTAATTACATTGTTGGTTCTGTAAAGTTTATTTTGAATCTTATAGTCCTTTTGGGGAATTATAAATACACAAAGCAAAATAATGTGTTTATTGAGTCTCTAAATGTCACCCAATAAAGCTTTTAATACTATTACACATGTGAAACATTTAAATGTAATGACTGAAATGTGCTGTCAAAAGTCGTTTTATGGTTCACTTATTGCTGTTGTTTATCTTATATCTCTACTGTACCCTTAAGGAATCACTGGTAAAATCTGACAAAAAATAAATAAGCCGATTGTGGTGTTAGGATGAAACAACGCATAAAGACGTATCATTCACGCTTTTCCAGCTACTAAGCATGCGTTTTCCTGCTTAAGATGATTGGCTCTGATTTAACCAGTCAGCGACTTACAGCACTGCTCAGTGGCAGTGTCCAAATAGCGTAATGAAATTATCTTTCCTACCTGCTTTCCTTAATTTTTTTTTCTGAAATAGTTTTAAGCAGAATATAGTCGGTATTGTTGCCGTGATCGCAGTTTACTGATCTGGGGAGTATTCACTCGATCAGTGTAATATTACTTCACATAGACCGTGGGCAGAAAAAAAACATGACGGTAAAAGCGTAATGCATATCAATCTGTCGTTACTTGCTATATCTGCGGTGTCTAACCTTATTTACTTTCTTTTGATGCTACTGTTCTATTCTATTCTAGATCTTAATGCTTGTTTATCAATCGTTTTCTAAAGTTTTTGTGAGCTAAATCAGAGACACAGAGACTAATGAATAACCGAAACCAAAACATCGTCATAATGTCAGGCGGAGTGCTGGAAAAACCTCAAGCAGCATTATTTCGGTAAACCTATACAGTCATTATGATCGCTAAGATTATGATCTAACAGTATATTATAACTCATAATATAACTCACATAAACCCTATTCTGGGTTCTGATGTTCATGTAACTCGAACTGGAATTTAATCCTAGTTTAAATAAAGAACTGTGACTGTGAATAGAAACCTGTTTGCTTTAAACTGCAATCCAGTAGAGCAGATCTCTTTTAGTCATGAACTTACTGTGCTAGAATCCAAGTCTCTGATGATCTCCTTCTTTGTTTCTCGGTTAAAGTTACTTCTGTTTTCACTGATGCGACATTGAGACCTTCTTCTTGTGGTCGACGGCAAACCACATGAAGAGGCACACTGCCATCTACAGCGCTGGAGTGTGAAAATAACAGACTGAGCCTGAACGGACCACCGCCTACATTTAGGACCACTGGTTTTAATTTAGTTACTTTGGTTCCACGTTTAAGTTCAGAGCAACCTGCAGACTGCAGGTCTAGTACAGGCTCCCCTGTTTGTGTTTAGAACTGCTAGTAGGTGACATTGATTCATGAATGATTTTCCATCAGAATCATAATTGTAGTCAAGATTGTAATTTGTGTCAACACTATGTTGGATCAAATTAAACTATCATCGTAAACTATCCACGTTAAACTAATTTCCATGTTACGGTGGTAAAATCTCTGCTCATGGCTGTGCATACTGGCTCTGCTAACTAGCCATTTATTGAGCCAGGAAAAGTGGTTGTCTGTTTTAAACAACAAAAACAGGAAAATATTCTTACTGTCACATAGGTAAAAGAAATGCATGCAAAATGTATTTAATAAATACATTTGAACATGTAAGAAAATAGCCAAAAATGTTTTGCTTAATGTACTGTAGTGGTTGGAATATATTTTGGAATGAAACAATGTATTTGAAATGCATTGAAATATAGTATGCACATATAAAAATACCTGTTTATGTATTTCTTTTCTGTATAGGGTTATGGGCAATAGCTAGTAAAAAAGACAGCTTAATTTTTTGCTTTTATTTTTTCAGAGCACCCAGTGTGCAAAATACCCTCTGATATTCAGGGTGTCCCATGTTGTCTCACTACTCCAGTGTTGGCTGGCTGCTCACTCACCATAGAGACCCTGAAGTTTCAATGGCAACAAAATGTTTGGTTTAACAATTCTTCTTTTGGAAATGCTCTGTTCTAGTTTGGTATCGCACTCTTCCACATATTAATTATTATACATTTCTTGTCTTCAGTTTTATAAATAAGTAATAATTCACTCTTCTCACCAGTCTTTCAGGAAATAGAGCAAATTTTCAGGTTCACAAATATGTGGCACATTATAAAAATATTATGAAGTTTTTCAGAGCTGTCTCAGGCACAGTTACAGCTGCTAGGCTATGAAGGACTAAGTGGGTGAGCTCACTTGCTTCAGCACTACCCTGAGGCAGAGGAGTGCTGCAGCTCTAGTTAGTTAAGAATATCAAAGAAAGCTCCCTAAATGTGGTGAAGCAGCTAAGCAATGGCAGCATAACATTATAATAAGCTTATTTTTTTATTTTGAGACAATCAGAGGGTCCCAAACCCTCCAAGACCCCCTGTATTTTGCAGCTTGAAAGAAAGATGATCTCATAAATTAATAAAAGTTATACAATATTGATGAATTACTGACCGAATCACTATTTTTGCACTTTCTTTATCTCCCTTTGAAAAGAACATTCTGTCTGTTTGTGAACAGAAATGTTTTGAGACACATTTGTTCAATTAAGCAACATCAGCTTAATTATATTTCATACAATGTATTTAAAACGTGTAGTTTTAACTGAATTTAATCATGTTTGTTCTACCACATTATGCAGATTACGTCAACTTTTTGAGTGAAAAAAACTCAATTTCGATGCATTAGTTACATTTAGTCACTGTTAATAAGCATTACCAGCTTAATTATATTTTGTAGAATTTACTTCAAATGCAATTTTAACTAAACTTAATTATGTTCATTCTACTTAAATATGCAATGACATGCAAATCACAGCAACCATATTTTTAAAGGAAAATACTACAAAGACAACATATCAAATGTTGAAACTGAGAAATTTTGCTTTTGGAAAAATATATGCCCATTTTTAATTTGTTTAAATTTAAATGTGTTTCTCTTCTTTAAACAAAATTTCTTGGGAACTGCTGTAGTTTTAAAAGTGAAATATTTTCCCATTCTTGCTTAACATAGGATTTCAACTGTTTAACAGTTCAGAGTTTCCTTTCTCATATTTTTCATTTCATAATGTACTAAATGTAATCAGTGGGTAACAGGTCTGGACTGCAGGCAGGCCAGTTTAGCACCTGGACTCTTTTACTACAGAGCCATGCTGTTGTAATACATGCAGAATGTGGTTTGACATTGTCTTGCTGAAATAATCAAGGCCTTCCCTGAAAAAGTTGTTGTCTGGATGCAGCATATGTTGCCTAAACATGTACCTTCAGCATTAATGATGCCTTCATAGATATGCACGTCACCCATACCATGTGCACTAATGCACCCCTATACCACCATGAATACTGGCCTTTGAACTGTGCGCAGATTACAAGCTGAGTGGTCTTTAGCCCGGAGGACGCAGTGTCCATAATTTCCAAAAAGAATTTCAAACGTTGATTTGTTGGACCACAGGACACTTTCCACTTCTTCTCAGTCCATTTTAAATGAGCTTGGGCCCAGAGAATGCAGCAGGGTTTCTGGATCCTGTTTATAAATGGGTCCAAAGATCACAGCCAGCAAATATTGATTTTTGGCCTTGTCCCTTGCATACAGAGATTTCTCCAGATTCTCCAAATCTTTTAATGATATTATGTACCATAGATGATGAAAAGCAAAAGTGCTTTGCTATTTTACATTGCAAAACATTATGAACAGTTGCACTATTTAATCATGCAGTGTTTCACAGAGTGATGAACCCTTCCTCATCTTTACTTCTAAAAAGGCTCTTTGTGATGTTCTTTTATACCCAATCATGTTACAGACCTGTTGCCAGTCAACCATCAGGTGTCTTTTTAGCATTGCACAACTTCACCAGCCTTTTGTTGCCCCAAGCCCAACCTTTTTGGAACTTGTTGGCATCAAATTCAAAATGGGCATATATTTACAATAAAATTTCTCAGTTTCAACATTTGAAATGTTGAAAAATGTTTATTACTCTCCTACTACATTAAAATCATTTAAAAGGGAAAACAAAGAAAAAGTTAAAACAAAACAAAAGGCAACCTGAAAGTCCAAAGAGTAATCTGGATGAGACTGGGAGTGGTTACAGTCTGTCCTTCATGGTTCACGGCATGGATGCATACACCTGCCCAAAAGACAGGGAAAGGGGCTGGCAGTAACTAATTGTTTAATTCTGCAGTTAGCCCCAACCTATAACTTCAGAGCAATACTAATCACAAAAAAATCACAATTAAAACACATTTCATGACAATCTACCACAAAATATCACTGCATTACATTCCAATCTCAAATACACAGATTAACGACACATACCTCCCACAGTTTAAAACAGTTTCGGCTGAACTGGCAGACATAATGTTGGCTCTGTTGTGGGTAGGGGAAGTGCAGCCAATTAGAACTGTAGTCTGCCAAGACTACAAAGCTTAACAAATAGCTGGTGGTCAGCTAGGGTATACATAGTGTATGACATCCTCCAGATCCTTCTTAGGGTACACCATTTAGGATTGTCCATTTGTTTGCTGTGGGTGCCAGCACACGTAGGAATAGAGGGGAATGAGATGGCAGACAAACTAGCAAAACAGGCCCTAAAAATAAAGCACATTAGAGTTATAGTACCTTTGAGTAAGTCAAAGAGGGAGGCATCTTTATAAAATTTAAAAACAAGTTGGGTCCAGAGTGACAACTGTGAGCAGAACAGAGGAAGATACAGTAATTGCTTGGTTACATATTAGGCATTGTGGGCTAAATCATTCTTTATTCAGGATTGGGAAACATTTAACTGGCCAATGTATACACTGTGAGCAGCCAGAGACAGTAGATATGTTAACGATCAAGAAGTTTTTTGCAAAATATAATGGGGAATGTGCACAGGAAGTTGATAAGGTTTCTGAAAATTACAGGGTTGTTTAATAGATTTTTTTTTTGTTTGGGTAATTCTCCCATTACCTCAAAGACCTTGTTTAATGACCTGTTAGTCTTTTGTCGAAGGTAAATGTTAAATCCTAATATCAGTGCTTCATGCTCTAGTCCAGTAAGTGGCAGTAATTCAACACATAACAGGTTTGGCAACTGCCAAAAAATACAGAAGAAGAATAAGATCTCAGGAGACATTCAGGGCTGTCTCCCTTCTGAAGTGATCTGGAAGAACAAATATCCAGATCAGCCTGGTGCTCTTCACTTCAATCTACATCGCATCACCTCCACTGTTAAATTTGTAACCACTCTATTAGACTTTGTGAGCTTGGGGGTAGGGTGTAAGGGCTGGAGTTGTTTTGGTTATGTTTTCTCTCGTTTCAATGTAGAGAGTTAGGGTAGCCATATGTAATTTTGTTTCTTTTATTTTTAGCTTAGATTTTTGTACATATATTTAATCAGTTTCTGTGTAACTAATAAAAATGAATATGAAAGTATCCCTTTCTCTGTACTACAACAACATGGCACGTAGTTCCAAATGCAGCCACACAAGGGCACATAGACTCCACTGAGCTCCTGACCTGCTTACTGGAAATCTGGACATGTGTCGGGCTTGTCAAGCTCAAAAAAACATTGTCTTTAGTTTGTTTAGTAATCTGGTGGGGGTGATGTTTGGCAACAGAGCTAACAGGTAAATTTTTTCCCATTTTTAACTTTACACTTTTTTTATAGTTAATGTTTTCATTGTCAGTAATAGTCAAGTAATTTATAGCATTAAATCAGGTATGATTGAAAAAGAAAGCTCAATAGGTCAATAGCTCAAAAGCTCAAAAATCCAGAGGAAAGGTTTTAGGAAAGGCTCATTTTCTTCTGTTGCTTGTTACTGTGTGTCACATCTCAGGGCCCACCTGCCCCTACTCTCCAGCACTCAGGTCTGCCTCTTTTCTTTTAGCTCTCACTTCTGTTCCTCATTGTCTATTCTCCTTTTTTAGCCCCAATTTTGTTCAGTTCCTTGTGAAGTCTTTGGCATTTAGCCTGAGCTCAAACTGTTCTCATTTTGTTTTTTCCTTGTTTTGTTTAACCCTATTTTTCTTGCTGTGCTTGGTTTATGTTTAGCTATACTCTACCACAGCATACGAAAGCCACTGAAACTATATTCCTGTGCCCAGTTCTCCAAAAAGCTGTCAGATGGAAAGTTAGATGTGCTTGCAGTAATTTCTTTAAATGTCCAATATATGTTACCCCAAAATGCTTTACAGTAGAACAAAGGAGGAAAGTACAGGCCATGGAAAATAAAACACACTTAAATAAACCAAGAACACACTAAAATATGTCAAGATAAATAACACAAATGGTATAAGAGTTTAAAAGGGGAACAAATTTAAAGTAACTTGACCAAATAGACCACTGTCCTGTTCACACCTCAGGGGGGATGGCAGAGTGAAGATACCAACTAAGTTTGCCAAATAATTTTTCTAGGTGGCAAACTAGACAGCAAAATAAACAAGTTTTCAACAGCCCAATGACCTCATACACATCCACACCAACTCTCTTCCAGGATGCTTCTTTATTGTCAAAGTTATGTCCCCGTTTGGAAAGCAATGATCCTCACTGATGGTCCTGAACGCAGTATTACCGCTATTGGACAAGTCCCTACATACTAAAAGTTAGGTGGTAAAGAAAAGGGGGAGAAAAAAAGAAGAAAATTAAAAAAGGAAAAAAAAAAAACAGATGTGCCTATATAACACAACACTCACTTTAACTTTCATATCTCATACCAACCAGACCCTATCATGTTTACATGAAGCTATAAATGTTGTCAGTGATTTAAACTCCAGATAGAAAGTGCAAAACCAAGTGTGTCAAGTAAACATGTCAAGGCTGTATGAAGACAGAGACATACCATTCAAACCTGTCTCTTTGGTAGCTCATGTGTCTTCAAAGCCTGGAGTATGCCCCTGATACATAATGGTAGAAGATTGTTTTCCCTCTTCTCTCTGTGCAGATACAATGCACAGATGTGGTATTTTCATTCATTTGACTATTTTATCTTTTCCCCCAATGTCCACTTATTATATTTGTGTTATATTACATGGCTGTGTTCCTGAATTGGAACAATGATAACCTTCTGGGAAAATTAAAAGGAACTCTCTAGCAAGTAGCAATCCCAAGACATTTATGTATGACGTCTTTTGATGTTGCATGCCTGAAAGGGGTAATGAATGGATTGTGTGTTATATAAGGAAGAATGGTGATTGCAGATGCATCTCAGGCAGACATGGTTACTTTGAGGTTACAGCCAATGGCTTTATAGTGCTACTGGTGCTAACAGCACCAACAGTGCTGATGGCAGAATGCACACAGAGCTTATCAATGAGCTACTGTAGCACCACTTTGCCTCCATTGCGCTGCACACACTGTAGGATGCAGTCTTGTACTTAGCCACGCTCCTGGTGGTGAGCCAGTCATTGTAGGCAATGGTGCAGCCACTTTCATAAAGTGTCCTGTAAAGCAGCCACTGATTGGTCTGTCTAGCTTGTGACAGAAATTTGGCATCACACACTTGAAACTGTTAAAGTTCCATGCCACAAAGAGCACTGGACCCAGTGATAAGTCTACTGTTGGGTGAGCCTATTGTAGTTCGCATAAGTCTGTGTCCCTGTCCGCCTGAGGTGGAATACCCGGAATACATGGCACTGAGTACAGTTGAGGTAAATTCCTGAGGAAGATAGAAAGAGTAACATTTGAAGGTCAGGAGCTCCAGGTTGGGTGTGAAGGAGCGTATGGGAACAACTATCACACCATCTGTTGTACAGCATCAGACCCACTCCATCTTCCCTTGACTTCCCCAACTCCTTTGTTCTATTTGTGCAGAGATGGTCTCTCAGCTCGATGATGTGGTCTGGTATCGCTGGGTCCAGCGTCTCAGTGAAGCAGAGGAGATTACAGTCTTTATTGTCTCTCTGGAACTTCACCTTGGCCCTGAGATCATTAATCTTGTTCTCCAGAGACTAGGCATTGGCTAGCAAGATGCTAGGCAAGGGACTGCGGTGTGTCCGAGCCCTCAGGATGTTCCTGCTGCCAACTCATTTCCAATCGGGCTGGCACTTTGGGTCACTTACTTGGTTGTTCTGCAATATCTCACTCGGCTGGCATTAATCCAGTGTAAAACATTGTAAAGGGTGAGTAGATTGTAGACCAATAGAAATAAGAGTATTTTCTAGCTAGTAGGAGCCATGTTGGAAAAGGAAAGAAATGTGCAAAAAATAAACATAAAGAGACAAAGTTTGGTTGGAGCAGCCGTGACAGAAGCTGACCATGGCACCACCTTTACATCAAACATACATATTTATATATACACAGAAATAAAAACGTGTTAGATTTAGATTTTAATTCATTCTCTGAATGAATGATGACAGAAAAGGTCTTACAAAGTTGTAGAGAATCTAAATATTTAGATTATATGTCAGTATGACTGTGAATAATAATAATAATAATAATAATAATAATAACAATTGCTTTATTTATAGAGCACTTTGGCCCCTCAAAATGCTTTACAGACAGGCAATAAAACCTAACAGTAAAAATATACATTAAGTATTAAAATCACAAAGCATCACATATCACATAAAGATATCAAAAAGATATAGAATTTTAGTTAAATGCTACATTAAAGACACATTTTCAAGCGTTTATTAAAAGTGAGCTCTGAGCTCGACTGTCTAGTCAAAGCTGAACTGTGTTCCACAGTTTAGAAGCAGAATAACTGAAAGAGTCTCTGTTTTCTGTGTTTTACAGAATCTGCAGATCTAAGATCGTGAACAGGCAGACATTCTGGAGCTTTAAGGTCATTTAGAGCTTTAAAAACCAGCAGCAGAGCTTTAAACTCTCTCTACCAGATCCAGGCAGTCAGTGCAGTGTGTAACGGGGTGATATGAGCTCTCTGTGTTGGTGCTCTGAGGATCCGTGCTGCTGCATTCTGTACAAGCTTTAGAGGATGGATTGTTTTCTCCAGTAAGAACTAAAACAGAAAAGGCCAAACTTCTGTTTCTCAAATGATTAAAAAGCTACTTTAGGATATATAGAGTTCAAAATCTAAGATTGCACCCATATTTCCTACTTCAGGTTTAGTATATGAGCCTAGCTTGTCATAGAGTTATAGAATCAAAAATTTGTATTTCAGTTTTTTATAGCTGTTAGTATGCAGTGTAGCAGTAAATTTGACCTGAATTGACCTGAACTTTGAATGAAGGAATTGTCCTAGTGATAGCGCATGGAAAAATGTAGATGGAGACAAATGTTCTCTGAAATAAGAAATGAACTAATTGAATGCTGTGTCCACATCCATTAGTGGTGTGTGCTTCTGGAGCTATACGATTACTTCATGTCACACTACACAAGACGCTACAAATAAAATCTTAGCTGATATGTCGTGGAACATTTATATATCTGCTGATCAGATTACACTGTAAAGTTTTTTGCCCATAGATCTGCAATGCAAGAAAATGACAACATTCTGTTTATGCAAAAAAGCCCTTGGCATTACGGAAATGTGCAGTAAACAGTGACAAGGGAGAACTTGGACCGGTTTATGGCTGGTGAAGAAGGTAATATGGTTTGTTTCATCTGAATGTTAGGGTTTTGGTATGTTTATGTCTTTTGGTAAAAAATGGCAGCAGACACTCCTCACATGCACTTTCTTGTAAATTTTGCACTAAATATTTAGATTATTTTCAGAACAGCTGGGAATCATCATTTTGGGGAGCACTGACTTCCAGGGCTCAGTGGAGGACACACAGTATAGTCTTGTAACCAAATTTGTTGAGCCCACAGACTTTACGTTAAGGTCTTTGTACAACAAGGTTGCATATGTGTGTGCTTTCTGTTGAAGCTTGTGTGTGTGTGTGTGTGTGTGTGTGTGTGTGTGTGTGTGTGTTTTCTGTTGAAGCTGGTGTTGATGACTCTCAACTGGATTTGATCTACTGATTGGAGGCTTTTGCCAAATTCTATAAAGCAAAAAAAAAGACGTATCTACTAGTAAGAAACATGTAAAAGCAATATCACATTAAATGGTGTGAAACCAGATTTTATCTTACAGACAAAGCATTCTTTCACAAGTTTGCATTCTTCAGAATCAGAATCAAGCTTTATTGGCCAGGTATGCATACATATACAATGAATTTGGTTTTGCTTATAGGAGCTGACAGTGCCCACTATCTGACAAACATTTACATGTAGTAAATAAAATACAAAAAAAACATAATTTCTACCACTATTCACTCATACACACACACACACACAGTCGTACTGTGATGAAAAGCCACACAGTCACAGTACACTCTTAAGCCCTATGTAGAGGTTATTGTATCTCACACACACATACACACACTTCTTTCACAAGTTTGCATGTTCTTCAAAATCAGAATCAAGGGTTATTGGCCAGGTTTGCTTACATATACAATGAATTTGGTTTGGTTACAGGAGCTCACAGTGCACAGTATCAGACAAACATTTACATGTAGTAAATAAAATAAAAATAAAATAATATAAAACAAAAAGTAAAACATACATTCCTACCATCACTCACTCATACACATAGTCATTATTGTACTGTGATTGTGTGTTGACACCTATGTAGAGGTTATTGTATCGCACACACACATACACACTCTGTGTAGAGGTTATTGTATTTCACACACACATACACACTCTGTGTAGAGATTATTGTATGTCACACACATATACACACTCTCACACACACACTGTGTAAATGTTATTCTATCTCACACAGATACACTGAGGAGTAATAAATCCTAAAACCAGTGTAGAGCGGCTCAGTGAATGTGGTGTAGAGTGTGTGTAGGTGGGTCAGTGTGTGTGTGTCAGGTGAGATGGTGTAGAAGGACAGAGTGCCGGATCCCCAGTCCAGATACACTCCTACTCTGTTAGAGGGGGAGGGAGGGACAGGTATCTCGGTTTCCTGATTATTATGCCTGATAAAGTATCTGTTCCCAGAGCAGTTCAGACTCCAGGACTGATTATTGTATCCAAACTCACAGTCATCACTGTGTCCTTTCCTCCTGATTCCTCTGTGTGATAGTGATATAACAGCTGTTCTCCCGCTCCACTGAACCTCCCAGTAACAGCGTCCAGTCAGACTCTCCACACTCAGAACCTGATGACAGTGATCAAATCTGTCTGGATGATCTGGATAATGATGATCTTCTTTCATCCACTCCACCTTTCTGTTCCCCTCAGACAGAGAGAGACGCCTGTTCACTGTGTTTGGATCCAGAGTGAGATCAACAGCATCTGTACGTACACACACACACAGACAGACAGACACACACACACACACACACACACATAGATCAGAGGAGACACAAACAATGTTTAAGTGTGTGTGTGTGTGTGCGTATGTATGTATCTTACATTTCTTCAGTCCTCGTTTCATCCTGATTTTTCCTCCATGATCCACCCTCAAGAACAAACACACACACACACACACACACACACACATTTATACATTCATTCTAATCACAAATTCTATCACTCATAGAACAGATTTCTCTTCTGTTTGTGCTCTCACTACTTGTATCTAATGAAAAAGAAACATATTACACATAATATTATGTTATTATTGTTTGATTTGATGTTGCTAGATATTATTGGACAATGATCATACAGACTGCATACTGTGTTTACTCGTACAATCAATTAAACAATCTTTTATTATGATTATGATTATTAATCATCATCATCATCACAACGGAGATTTCTGCTTCTGGCTGACGCTGGTGCCTAAGACTCACACACAAAGGTTCATGGTAGTGTGCGCTCTCCGATAAAGGGAATTGTGTTGTTTAATCTTATTATCTGTTAGTGTGATGGTGTGTTCAATAAAGAGCTCTTGTTCTAGCAGAATCATAGCTACCACTGTATTTCTTCTTCTGCTGATGCTGCAATGCTAATAATTAGAACAACAACAGAAACATAATAATAATAATAATAATAATATTTATTTGATTATTATTATTATTATTATTATTATTACTATTATTATTATTATTATTGTTGTTATTCACTCACTGTAGTTTCTTCAGTGTGCAGTTTGGATTCTCCAGTAGATCAGAGAACAGCTTCACTCCAGACTCTCCTGTGTCATTATAGGTCAGATCCAGTTCTCTCAGGTGGGAGGGGTTTGATTTCAGAGCTGAAGCCATAAAATAACATCCTTTGTCGGTAACCATACAACCAGACAATCTACAGAAAGGAAAAATAAAGAAAAACGGATTATATTTACACTGAGCAAAAACAGCTGCAGTACAGAACAAACACAGCAGGCACCAAATAAACACAAACATCCTGATACCAAACAGGAAAAAGAAAAATACAGTAACTAATTCACATGGCCAAAAGCAGTTTAGACAGTTTGGGCTATTATTTTGAATACACCAACCCATCATCCAACTCTCTTTTCAAAAAAAGTTGGGACAGTATGTGAAATGCAAATGAAAAACAGAAAGCACTGACTGGTAAAACCTTGGTTTGACCTGCAATAAATTGAGAATGGTACAAAAAAAATAATATTTGATGTTTTAACTTCTGATCTCTGTTTTTAAACACTCATTCCAAAACGTTATAATGGGAGCATGTTTACCGCTATGTTACAGCACCCTTCCTTTTAACAACACTTGTTCAGAGACTAAAGACAAAAACTGATCCAGTTTTGAAAACAAAATTTTTTGTCATTCTGCATCTGCAAAATCATACAGGGCTTAATATGCAACATGCTTTACTGGAAGGCAGTTCTGGTCTGCTGTCAGGCCAGTCTAGCATCTGCACTTTCTAATTAAGCAGCCATGTACAGATTGTGGCTTGGTGTTGTCATGTTGAAATAAACATTGAGATCTCTGACAAAGACAATGTCTAAAATTGCAGCTCAAAACTGTTGAGCATTAATGATGCTTTCACAGATGTACAGGTTACCCTTTACCCCCCAACAACCCTATACAATGACTGAAGCTGGATTTAGTATTTTACACTGGTAACAGTCTGGATGGTCTTTTTCCTCTTTGTCCTGAAGAACACAATGTCCATTATTTCCATAAACAGTCTGCAAGGTTGACTTGTCAGACCACAACATGTTGTCAGCAGCAGGTTGTTGGTAAATTACTTTCACTGTGCATAGTACAGTCTTAACTTTAAGGAAACAGCAATGGATGATGTTTATTCACCAGGTTGTCAATGTATTCCTGAGCCCATGTGTGATGTCTATCATAGAAAAAATTTTGGCAACACTTTTTTAGTGATCTTTTGCAGATGATTAATAAACTCTTAACAGATTATCAGTAACATTGGCATCTGATAAGCAGATTTTCTAAATCTCCATGCAAATGGAACAGAATTTTACCCTACATCCTTATTTATTTCATTTATAAATCTGCTGTTAATCATCTACAGCCATGTGTTTAGGGGCCATCAGTGAAATAACTGGTAGTGGTGCATTATCAATTGCTGTTAGTGACATTTTAATGCTCAACAACTAGAAAGTGGATAATTGTCCAAAGTGATTTACTGTTGTTTTGTGTGGAAGTGATTCTTGACATTGTATTTCAAATAAAGGTTAGATTTATGTTAATATTTTGAATGAACGACCAAAAGTGTTAGCAGTAAAAATGTTTAAAAAATTATTTTTGGCCCAGTCTATTTAGTAATGTTTACCAAGGAAGGAAATATTTGAAAAGGGCACTCTATATGTGTATGTGTGTTAAAACAAAGTTTTCAATTATTAATGACAATAATGTTGCACATTGTAATGCCATGAACACATTTTTCTAATTTGACACTCTGAATTATCAGTAGCAGGTTGAAGCCCAGCTGCTCCCAACTGTAGCCTTCTTGTTCAAATACAAGTTGCCAATTTCCAAATGGAAAGATGGAAAGTTTCACTGATGGCTCTCTTAATGAAAGTTATTTCCAGCTACTGCTGTGGTTAATTTGTTCATCACCAAAATACATGGAGTCTGAAGCATCACTTCCAAGCAAAATGCACCATTGATGTGTCAATATTAATAATTTGAAAAAATGTGATTAATTGCAATGAATTACACAAGATAGCATTATTAGTTAATTATTTTATTGCTACCTCAGCATTTCCAGTATACACTGTGAACTCTTCAGTCCAGCAGAGAGCAGCTCCACTCCTGAATCCTGGAGGTCATTGTTACTGAGGTCCAGCTCTTTCAGAGAGGAGTTTGTTGATTGTAGAATAGAGCTGAGAATTTCACAAGTTTTGCCCCCAAGTTTACAGAAAGCTAGTCTGTAAAGTAAAATAAAGATACAATAAACTTTATTTTTTCCATTTTTAAATAAAGGTCTAATTAAAAATGATGCGAAATCAAGTGTGAATAAATGGCAAATTCCTCTTTACTGGATAGATCAATATGAGTTTTATGCAAAATAATACTTCCTTAGATAAAATGTTAAAAAAAAATCCATTGATTGAAAATGGCTGTGTCAAAGCATGTCATGTTTTCCTTTATACTTTCACACAGTCCAATCATTGATTTCCCACTGAGGTCAATATACAGATTCATTATATATGAGACCATCTGTCACCTCTTTAAAAAAATTCCAGTTGTAGCTTTTCTGTGTTCTCAATGGTCTACCTCTGAACTGTTTCATTCATGTTGGTTTGAGGTTTTTGGCAAGTAGCTTAAAACCGTTCATGATACTTAGCATATTATCTGTGAATATAATCATTACATCGTATTTTCATATTGAAATGTTCACAGAATACCTTGTAGCAAAGCTAGAAATGTAGAATTATAAAAAATAGAAAAATTATCTATTAATAATGACCTAATCTGGTATCGTGGTTAATGTTCTAACTGCCATTTTTTTTTAAATAGTACATTTGCAGTGTTGACAGGTATACAGGTACAATATGAATGAACTGAAAATTCACCCAATTGTGTTTAGATTGCAGTGTGAACTCTTCAGTACAGCAGAGAGCAACTTCATTTCTGCATCCTGCAGGTTATTGTTGTTGAGGTCCAGAACTTTCAGGGGGCAGTTTGCTGATTGTAAAGCAGAAAAGAGATTTTCCCAGGTCTTCCTGGTGAGATTGCAACCAGCGAGTCTGCAAAAAACATTGTATGTGAAGTGTAAATAACATATTTATTAACTTAATCTCTGAGAGTTTTGTGTTATAATATTTCTTTCTTGCATAAAAACAAAGAAAATGCTACTGATTGGCAAACATGGCTGTAACAATGTCTGCCCAGTTTTCTATACACATTTTCATACTAGCAATACTTGATGCTGCACTGACATTCTGATATTATTTCATTATACATTCGTGATGTACCACATAATGTGATTAGTTTAAATTGTTGAGAGTGTGCAGATGTAAACAAACAATTGACTAAATGAAACATCTGTTTTTAATACATTCAGAAACTAAAGGAAAAACTTAAAGAAACATTTAATCATATATGAATGAATAAATAAATAATAAATAAATAAAATTACTTTAAATTTGATATCCAAGGTGTTTTCATAAGTGCAGAAAACACTGACTTCTATCAAATTAGCTTCATATTAAATTGAGCTATAAAATGCAAAGAATGTATAAAATTAAATAAAGCTTAAATAAATAAGATACATAAAATTAAAAAAAAACTTTCATGAGCATTACTCTCCAGTACTTTCAAAAAAGATTTTAAAATGCACATGATAAGCTAAGCTAGCTAACTGCATGGTCAATAATGTCTCTATGGATAGACCTAAAATAATAATGAAACAATTTCATATACATGAACATTGTTATAATCATTCACCATCTTTCACTCCCTGTGAAAGTATGCTAAAGACAGCTGTAAGATTGGCGGACAAAACCCTGAAACTGGGGAGTATTGCAATTGGTGTCTGCGGTTGTACCATACTCCAGCTGACAATGCCCAGTATTGCCAGCCCCGCTGTTGAGTACCATTAGGCTCTGGCAGTACCAACTTTGAACAGGTAACAAAACCATAAGGCAGAAATTCTTGGTACTGAATCAAGGTAAAAAAACAAAATTCCATCTTTCTGGTACCAAAGATTCTCATACTTCATGCAGTGGAAAAACACCCTCTGCCTCCTGCATGAGGAAATGGTATAAGAAAGTCATGATTTAAAAATCATTCTGCACAACATTACCAAATTCCATTAATGTCTCTGACATGTTTGTAAAATTAACTCAGATGCATGTAGGTTCTACTCACAAAAAAGTAAAGATTTGATAAAACAAGTGAAATATTTGTGACTACCAATTAACTTCTCCAATACTTGGTTCTTCTATTTAGCTTAAGAAATGCAACATCCATTTTTCACCATTTAATTAACTCAGCATTGGCTGGTCTGAGGCATTGCAATGTGGATCTAGAAAATGTTGTGTATTCATCCTTATTTAGCAGCCATCTTGAAGATATTAGAACTGAGGCATTACTGACTTCAAATCTGGCAAAAAGTGAATTTTGAAAAAGCCACTGCAACCACATTTTTTCTGAAACACCTCACACACAAACATCTACACATTTCTTAGGGTAGGGGTGTGACCTATAGCACTGAAAGATTGCAGTCCACAAGTGCTGCACTGCTACCTTTACTGTTACTACTTGTGTGTTCCTGTCCATGGGCCCAGTGCATGTATAAGTCAAGTTGGTTGCAATTTTCTGGTTGTAACTATAGAACCTTTTTATTGACGGGTTGTAAGCTGAATTTTCACAGTGGGCATAACTGGAAGTAGGCATTAAGTCAAATTTTAGACCCTTTCCAGGCTGTTACCGCAACATTACCCGATTAGCTAACTATGCTATAAAACATGTTTGGTAGCTATCTTGTGTGATAATGTCCTGAACTTACTACAAGTGGAAGTAGATATAGTAATGTAGCAAATGTTAAAAACAGAATCAGACTGCTTCCAGTGCTAATGTCTGCATCAGAATCAGACATTCTTCCAGTGCTAATGTCTGCATTAGAATCAGACATTCTTCCAGTGCTAATGTCTGCATCTCTTGTAGGGAGAAATATGAAAAGTTGTGTTGTGGTACAGGGGTGAGTCAAACAGTGGCAGTCACAAAATTTTATCTTTTCATGGTTGCTGCCCAAAAAGTTAAGAAATTATATTCTACTGTGCGCTGTACTCCAGAACCAGCCCATGTTTGCATTGTTCTTTGTAAATTTGATTTAAGACAATGGGATCTTTAAAACACAAAATATACAAGGAAATCAAACACAGAAAAGTAATTATTAAATTACAGAAATTTTACATACTGGGGAGTACTATGATATTATGTAAGACAAGTCCTTATGGGTAACCAAGATAACTAAGGAGTAAACCAATAATACTTGCTATGAATTTTTCTGCAAATGTCTGTTAAATATTATATTCATATTGAGATATTTACAGATTACCTTGTTAATGATTACTTAAACTGTTATCACCTTTCATGGTATTATTGTGATAAATAGCAGTATCTTTACTGTGTTGGTTGTTGTGGAGGTACAATATGATTTAATTTACAGAAAGTTCACCTGAGTGTCTCCAGTTTGCAGTGCAAACTCTTCAGTCCATCAGAGAGCAGCTCCACTCCTAAATCCTGCAGGTTATTGTTACTGAGGTCCAGCTCTTTCAGAGGGCAATTTGCTGATTGCAGAGCAGAACAGAGTGTTTCAAAGGACTCCATGGTGAGATTAAAGGCAGAGAGTCTGCAAAAAAACAAACAAACAAACAAAAAACAAAAACACAGTATATAGTATACTTAAAAGAGGAGACTGGCAATCCAGTGTGAAAGTAAATTTGTTTGATTATACATGTTAGCAACATGGCAAGTTAATAATGAACTACATTCTTCACTTTTCCACACTGGGTTTAATACTACACATCTCTAGCTAACTAAACATTTCATGTCCATGTGCAAAACCTCTAGTGCATATCGCCTACCACTTTGGAGGGATTTTATCAACATTAAAATCCATGCTGCAAACCTTATGTTTATAAACTTGAAAAAAATGATGAGGTAGTGCCAATAATACTGTTTGCTCTAAGAAATTGTTCGTTGTCGTAATTTATTTTTCACCTGCATGAGAGATGACTAGATATGTCAAAATAATAAAAGGGATAGCTAAATAATAATAATGTTATCATTAGCTACATAACTAGCTACCACACCATAGCAAATTTTCTACAAAGCAATAATTCTAAAAATATTGACTAACTCATCAACATATAATCCTAGTTTACATTCTGGTGCACTTATTTTTCATGTATTTGTGATTGGTGAATTTATCATTGCTTATAAGCATAAAGAATTAGCCAAAGGGTTTGTGAACTTTAGCATGAAGTGTAAGAAAACACAGAGGAGAACATCAAAGTTACGACAGACATAGCTAAAGCACTAATAAACAATTTACTCTGGGCTGCCTTCTAAATGTATTATTGCAAATGAAGTTCTTTCATTTTCATTGTTAAGTAGCATGTCTTATAGAATATTTCCTGTTTATGTGCATTTGTCTCAGTCTGAGTGATATAAAACAAATCACATTCTGTTTATAGCATATGATCCAATAATATGGAGCCCCTAAGTTAAGCATACATAGATGCATGTGAATGCAGATGTAAACACCATGCTCATGGCTCACAAAATTTGTTTGGATAATCATTAGTAGTTTCTTAAAATTCAAATTTCAAAGTGGTCTTACAATAAACTTGGCGATTAAGGGCATGCTAATAATATGCTAATGCTAGCTAATTGTGACATTAGCTAATAGTAAAATGTTACATGGATAAATAGAATATTAGCCCAAAAGGACATTGCAGAACATTTACAGGAGCTGAAACACAACTGTTCAAATTACATATTATGATGAGCTTTAAAATGCACTGAATTTACAAAGCACTAACAGGCATGAACAACATTTGGATTTTACAGTGTTACAGTGTTTAAAGTGTTATTCAGTTTTTTGGTGGTTTATTGATTTTCCTACGCTCTGCATATTACTTTTAACAATTGTGTTTTGAGCATTACAATGTAGTACAGTAGTAATAGAACTTAAAATTGACATGATTAGCATTGACTAAGACAGCTAACTATATGATAGTAATGACATTACTACTTATCATGTATAAATATTGGTATAATCATTCATCATTATTGATTCTATGTGGTCTTGTGCATCTCAGAGCAAACCTTGAGAGTGGGGGGCTTAAGAGTATTGCCTGCAGCTGTTCCATTCTCAACCAGTCAGCACTGAAAAGTTGCACCAACTGGGAGTTTTATCAGGCCCTGTTGGTACCAATCTTTAACAAGTACCAAAAACCAAAGTCAAACCTTGGTTTATCCAAAAGTTCTTGTAATTTGTGCAGTGGATTAACAGTCATCGTTTCAAGTGTATTGGCTACACTGTAAATGAGGGTAACTCTCCATGTACTCCAAGTTTAAATAAAAGTTGAGTGTTTTCAGGGTTGGAGCCTCCTGTTCAAATGCTGTGCGGAGAAGCCTGGGCATCAACCTATCAGCTCCCTCACTCATTCGCTTGTCCGTGCTTGTAATTGTATTGTGGATGACTTGTTTGTCTTGCTAATTCGACCATCTGTCTAGTCTATTTTGCTCTCATCTCTGTTGCAAGCTTAATAGTGTTGTTAGCTAGATCTGATAACTGTTCACTATTAGTCTATTTGTGTTGATGCCTCTCTCTCTTCCCCCTCTGCCTCTTTCTCTCTCTTTTCCTATGCTTATCTCCTCGGATTGAGAACAGGTAAGATTGTACAAGCTTGTCTAGATAAATTAGATTAGAGGGAGTGTGCCATACTCTTTGTTTTAGGTAGTTTATCCTAGTGTAGTTAGTTAGTTTTGCTTTCTCTGTATGGTAGTCAGGCTAGACATTAAAGACACAGTCCAGGCCAGTTCTATTTTGTTCATTTCTTTTCTTTGGTACAATCCATGTTTTCTCTCCTTGGTAAGATTAACCCAGCTTGTCTTTAGTGTTGCTTTTTAAAGTCTTTGACAATGTTCGCAAGATTTTTTATTGAATGCAGTATCCAGAATAAATTCTGTTTGGCATACTCTCCATCTTCTGCCAATCATTTCACACTCTGCAATACTCTTGTCAATCCTCCATTCATAAATCAATGTATCAATTTATCAGTTTCATTTGTAATTGTTTTTGCTCACTGACCAGCATTTTTATTTCTCTACTCTGCAGGTTTGATTACACATATGTAATTACCGATAATTTTATCCAATACATGGTTCTTCTATTTGGGTTCAAAAATGTGTTGATCACTTTTCAGCGTTCAGTGAATACAGGCCGATGTGAATCATTATAATGTGTACATAGATAACAAAGAGTGGGTTTACACATATAAACTGTTACCTGGGTTTTCTTTCAGATTTCTGTCTGAACATATGTGAACACAGTCCATGGTACTGGAAAAAGGATGGCAGCAAAACACTTTTGGAGTAACACTGAAACCAACTATATGCTAGACGAAATGAAGGATTTAAATATTCTTTATCTTCTAGATAATGCATGTTCATAGTTTCAAGTGGCTCTATGTTTTGTTAAAAAAAAAGCTGTGGCATGAAGTTTGAGTTTTACATTACGTTTACGTCACCTCTTCTTCTGTGAGTTTATTGGCTGGCTGTAAAGTAGAAATCTGATTACTGTCTGACTTATGTAGACCCAGACTTTTCCCATTTTCCTCATATCTGATTACTGAAGTGCATGTAAACGCATTGACCGGATTGCTGACAAAATCTGATTTTCTGCAGTCATTAAGTGCATGTAAACACACTCATTGTTTTGTGTTCATCCTCATTGAGCAAGCATTATGAGGATGAACTAAAGTGTCATTCCCTTAAAATCTGGCAAAATGGCAATTTGGAAAAGCCTCTGCAACCACATTTCTCTTAAAACACACTACACATAACTTTCTTTGCATTTCTTAGGTCAGGTGTGTGGCCTTACAGCACTAGTAGGTTGAGTTCCATTTCTGTGGAAAAGAACTGTGCCACTGCGACATTTACTGTGGTGGTGGAAGTGTTTTCTTGTACAGTCTAGTCTACACTGACTAACACTCACAAAAACTAGTAATGACGACTTAAATGAACAAAGAAATAGCTGTCTATCTTTACTTTAAGAAATCTACAAGCATTTGATAGATATTCATGCTGAAGCTTTTTAAAGAAAATACATGTATTATACAAGCTAACTTGAAAACAGGGCCTAGGTAAATGTAAAACGTAACTAAGATCAAAATTTTAGTGAGGTCCATTTTGTAGAACTGTGACCTACATCTCATAGTGAATAAAATATCTGCAAAATATGAAAATTACAGCAACTGTAACCTTCTCCTTTTTTCTAACAAAATCATTGCTCCTTTTTACCCCTCCATAACTGTTAAGCACCTTTCCCTTTCATTTGTTCCTTCCCCATCACTCCATTCTCTCTCCTACCCTGTTTGTTTAATTAAGAATTTCACTATTTATTTATTTATATGTTCATTTTCAACTGAAAATGCATATGTAAGCCTATACTAAATTAAATGATAGTTTTAAATTAATATTACTTTCTCTCTCTCACACACTTTCTCTCTCTCTCATTATAAAAATATGTCTGTACCAAATGCAGCTAACAGTAAAGGCAGCTACTCATATAGGTAATGAGACACAATACAGAAAGGAGAAAGTGGGAGTTGAGGAGGCCATGCCATACTTTCCATCGGGCCCACTCTCATTTGGACAAGGGTGGTAGCGCTGTAAGAGTCATGTTCTTTGATTTTTCCAGTGCCTTTAATGCCATTCGGCCCCTCCAACTGAGAGATAAGCTGGCAAGGATGCAAGTTGGTCCATACCTGGTCTCCTGGATTACTGGCTACCTCACTGGCAGACCTTACATACTCAGCTGTCACTGTGTCTTAAGATGTCTTAAGATGTTTTGACAGTATTTATAAGATGTCTTGAGACATTTTTTATGCCAAGACGTCTCAAGAACGTCTTAAGACGTATGAGTGAAGACACTGTCTTTGTCTTGAGACATGAAAGTTAACGTCTTAAGACAAAGAAGTAATTATTTTGTGTGTCTTGAAGACGAGGCATGACTTAAGACATCACTTTGTCTTAAGACATAGAGATGTTGTGTCTTAAGACAGTTCAGTTGAGACCAAAGACTGGTCCATTACAAAAGGTCCTGTGGTATGAGTGTGGTATTCCTGTGGTACTGCCAAACTGAAAATTACTACTGAGGATTACCACAGCACAGCCTAATGTAGAATATAATGAAAATATAACTATATAAGAGAGAACAGAAGTATGTCCTCAAGAAGCAGCCTGCTGTAATCTTATGGTTTTTGTGTGATATTACTAAAAGAACATTCACTAAGGTTTTACTTGCTGTACTTTTGTGATTCTTTTTTTTATGTTTTGTTTTTTGATTATTGCAGAAATGTGTTTACAGTGGCAAAATAGCAAAAGAAAAAATCAATTCTTAAACCATTTACCTTACCTTAAAATGTTTAAACTCATTTCCTTATATCATTGAAGTTCATGGTAGAATAACTTTTAATTTGTAACATTTACCAAAGGAGATAATCACAGTCAGTCACAGCCTTTTGCTCATTTGCAGAAAACATGCTATGATTAAAACAACATTGATCTATTTTCAAATGTACAACTGTAACCAGAGACAACAAGCTAGGAACCAAGATA